ATTGCTATTGCTATTGCTATTGCTATTGCTATTGCTATAGCTATTGCTATTGCTATTGCTATTGCTATTGCTATTGCTATTGCTATTGCTATTGCTATTGCTATTGCTATTGCTATTGCTATTGCTATTGCTACTGCTACTACTCCTACTACTACCTATCGAGTCGTCTGTGAAGACAAGTTGTAACGCATTTAAGCAAATGGAGGATGGGTCGGTTTGTTCGGCCCAGCTGCACTCGTCTTGACTCTTGTTCAGCTGCTTTGCCGATTGTCGCGCCTGGCATCAATCATACCGATGCATCGCATCTACAAACAGTTCGTGCCGTCCGTGATGGCCTCGGCTTGTGCTGTTGACGACAACTCCTCCGCGGCTTTCAACTTCTCGGACCTCAACAGCGTCATCATGTTCCATGGTCCAGAATAGCTGCCAGCAGTTCTGCCAGGCAAGAGTGCTCTGTCTGTGCTCAGTTTCTATAAACACGCGCCATGCACTGAACGAATTGGCCAGACAAGGAACGCATAGCTCTCCAACCCAATCAGTCAAGGCCGAAGCATCTTTTCACCATGCGACTTGGCATCGTCCAAGTTCTTCTGCAACTTCTGCATGTTCTTTTGGAGAGCCTGCACATGAGTTGATCTAGGTGCTGCTGCAAAAATGGTTGAGATTTCGCCCAGCTGGTGCATGCAAGAAGAAAAGTGGAAACTCTAGTGCTGGGCATTGCTGGTGTCTTCACCGGGATGCGTGTCAGTAAGGAATTCGGTCCCACTCTATCTCCAACACACAAACGTTCAACCCATAGCCCAACAAACAGGCTCCATGGTCACTCGCTGTCATGCCGGGCGAGAAGCCGAATTTCGGCAGAGCTGAGCTTTCCCATGTATTAGCACTGATAGCTTTGCAGGGAGGCTGCACTCAGCGCGGAAGGTTTGCCCTGAATGTGTGTGGATCACCGACAATGACAAGCGGTCTCGAACTAAGGGAAGCATAAGACCCTCCTACATGGAGTCAGCTGTGCAGTTTTCGATCCGGTTCGCAAACTGACTGAGACACCCAACCGATGAGGCAGGAGTGATAAATAGAGTGTTCAGGAAATCTCCTGCAGCAGGGCTTCTTGAAAGTTGGGATGCTGCTTGCGACTTGCATCCTGGCTCACGACATGTCTTGCTCACTTGCTCTGAATTAAACCCATGTCCTGACAGCTCGGCCTAGGGCCCTAGAGCTGAGGGCAGACGTGCAGCTTGTGGCAGAAATGGAACAACTCGGTGAAACCAAAGGAATCTAGCACACTCACCATTTCATGCAAGCCCCAGCTATCGCATGCGGTGATGTGCCATCTCAGGCAAACTCCATGCAGCCATGGCCGCCTGAGCTTCGGTGGATAAGATGAGCACGGCAAGACCGTGTTGCAGGCCATGCCCTCCACGGCACAAACATGCACAGGACATGGGCGTGCCAAGCTCTCTTGTCTGTCCGCTGCCAAGCTGGAAAGAAGGAATTCGCACGGTTTTTCGCAGGGGCTAGACACGTAGCTGACTCGCTCAAAGCTAGAGATTACTTTGCATGCATCCCAGCGTTGGAGCTGCATGCTTTCACGCTATTCGTGCTTTGTTTCAAACGAAGACGAATCTCAAGAGGCACTCAAACAAGTGAAACTCATCTTAAGCCCAGGCATGTTGCCGGACAATTGCCTCATCCCGGAGGGTGTGAAGCCCGGCATATTTCGTCGGCGTTATGGCAGCTGAGGACAACATTAACATTATTTGTCACTACCATGTTTAATACGGACGTAGACCTCTCGAACACATACTGGACATGAGAGGCATGACATGATGTGACTTGCACGACTGAAAATTCTGCACGGGGTCACTTGCTCTCGAAAAGATGGCCGACATCCTTGATAGTGACACTGCCCAAACCGAGGACAACGAGAAGCAGGAAGGCCAACCTGAGGAAGAAGGCTGCTCCATGATTCAGTGGAATTCAAACTTCGAGTAGGAAGGCTGGGTCCTTCTGGGTCAGGAAATAATGACTTCAGTTTTTCATGTCCGTGTGGCTCTACTCGGTTAGATTCGATGCACTTCCCCTCCAAGTCTTGTTGCGATGCCGGCCGGTACACGAACCGACGAAGTCTGGTTGTACTCTGCCTTCCATTTCCCACCCCCCTTTCGCCAGCAATCCCAGGGCTCTCCAAGACTGCGGTGACTGCACCACGATGGCTTGAATACATGCGCACAAATGTGCAAAGTGATGAACGTCTCATGGGGGGCGACGGTAGTCTGAGATGTCCCCACAGTTGCGTCCAGCCGTACCTGAACTCTCGGTGGGTGTGCGATGAAGTCCCGAATAGTCTGCCCACTTCCGGCGGTTTGTGTTTCCTGTGAACCCGACATGTCCAAGGAAGGGGAGGGGGGAGGTCGGCAAGCGCAGTCCCGTTCGGACACCGTGTCGCTGCGCGTGCTGCGGGTGACGAATTTGAAATCTGCGATGCGGGTATGTCTTTAGGTACTCTTTCATGCTTAGAGGCTCCACGTCTTGCTTCTTGTTCTCGTCCAGGCGCTGCCCACTAACCTCTGCAACAGGTGTTATGCTTCCGGCAGGCTACGAATTCACGATCTACTCGGCCCAGTTGTTGTCAGGCTGCCCAATCTGCTCCGAATACGCTGTACTGTACAGCTACAGTATTGTGGAGCCATTCCGCACCTGCTCGGCCAGGACGAAAAGCGCCTTCCCACCATCCAGCGCAGGCAAAGGCAAAGCATTGATGAAAGCCTGGACAATTGATCATCCGAGATCCAAAACTCAGCAGTAGAATCGTTTGGGGTGGCTGCTGACGTGACGGCTGATTCTCAAGAGGTCTCATGTTGGCTGCCTGTACTATACGGATGCTCGTACATCAAACTGTCACTTTGCCTGGCACATGGTGGATGTGAAACGACTTAGCTCGGAACCAAGTTCAGATTCACAGTTACCTTGGTGGGTTGATCACTTGCCGGCAACTGATGCACCGACACCCAGCATGAAACCAGAGGAGTGGTATTGTCGCTCTTTCCTACAAAACTCTACCCCTCTTGCCGGGTCACAAAGAAGATGAAGATCCCAAGCAAGCCTTCGGCAGCCATCAGATCCTCGCCCTGCTTTACGATGCCAACCGGGCCTGTCACGGATGGTGCGGTGGCGAGCAGGTTCTGCAACAGCAACTCGACTCCCCCAGCCTACCATTTCTCCAGGCCCCATGCCTGTAAAGAGTCCTGCATCTTCAAAGATGGTCTGAGTCTGAGGCAGATAGGCAGAGAGAGTACTTCAGGGAGGTCCTTCGAGAGCTTTGACCTGTTCATCCAGAAGCTTGGTGAGTACATCCTTCGCTGCAATTTGCGCTTGCATCAAGAGTACTCTGCAGTGCTACAGCACTGCCACTTCAAGCATTTTCTCCTCTACCCACATAGTCACATACTGACAGTTGCGTGGTCTTGGGCTTGTGACGGCTTGTCTCGGCTACGAGCTAAGTCGGCAGCAGAGCCTTGAGCCCCAGTCTGACGCCTTGCACCTACCTGGAGGCCGAGAATTTCGGAGGCAAGGATCTGTCGCCACACCTGCGGCTTCCTTAGCGCAGGCGCGTACCACCCTGCTAGTTGCTAGCAATCACCGTTCCAGTTCCATGTTTCCCTGGCGAGACTTTAGACACGCTTCTTGGCCAAGCCTCCGAGAAGCCTTCCGCTTTAGCCAGGACCCGCTGCGAGTTGGTTTCGATCATCACGCCAAGCCTTTGCAACCTGGCACCACACACGTCGGCCTCAGCTCAGCTTAGCTCCAAATGCGGCCGTGGAGCCCGGTGTTCGGGTCGGTGATGGTGTTTGCAGTCAGGAGGACCTCCTCAGTGCCCCGTTGTACGAGCATCTCGACGGGCCTGCAGACACACTCTGATGGAGTAAAAGATCCATCCAAAAGCACACAACAGCCGGAAGGAAAGTGAAACGATCCGAGTTATAAGTCCATGCAGTGTCTCCGTCCGCATGCAGAATCGGTTGATGACTCAGCCCGTTTGCGCTGTAGCGCTCATGCGGCCCATCGGCATTTCGAATTTTATGCTGAAGCTTCGGCGAACAGAAGGAAAAATGGAGCACAGACCAATCTGCTTTGCAGAAGCGAAATGTCACGGCTTGACCTGCAGTCGCGACCCGGCTCGAGGGTGAAAGCGTACTTGCAAAACAGCAGACCCGACATGCCGGCAACTTCATCTTTTCAAAAAGCTTGCTGCGATGCCTTCCGGCAGGAAGCTGGTTAATGAAAGCCACCGTCTGACCTGAGCGGCTAGGAACAGTGTGACAGGAACTCCTCACACGGCACCGTGCGGGCCTAGTCGTCTGAGAGCACTGCGTACCTCGGCCCCGGAGAAGTTCAGGTCTAAACCTGCGTGGACTACTGCAGGGCCATCACTCCTGAGTCTGAGAGACAAGTCAGAGAAATTGCACATTTCCTGGCGGCGCCTCCAATGCGAAGCAACACGTCAGCAGCTTTCAAGCCGGTTCGTGCAAATGCTTCGTCATCCACAGCCTCACGGGTCGAGTCGGCCGCACAGTTCAACATGATACGTTGCAGCACTCAGAATTGGACTGAGAAGCAGGTCGCAGGATGCAGTAACCGCGTTCAAGAAATCTTGTCGCGAAACATGGAAATCCATCATCTGTTACGCACTGGCTGACATGCTGCCGGGCCGCTGAGATGCGGATACCGGGAAGCAAGTCCTTCGTCGGAACTCCAGCTACCAGGGCGCCAGCTAGCAGAGAAGACCAAGCCTGAGGAAGGGATGGCATCAAGGGTACACCCGCTTGGCCGGGCAGTTGCATTCCGAGGGCTCACGGAACGCTCTGAGACGGCCAAGTTGCGACGGCAACATTGGCCAGAACACCACCGGCAAGCACCCAAATCCGCTCTGCCGTCGATCGTGCGTCAAATTCAGTGACCTGAAGCTGCACATTCAACGGCACCTGTGTCTTTCCGTTCGACTTGCATTGTTGTACAACGAAGGACGATCGAAAAGGAGCGGCAAACATAAGGACGTAAGTCCTAGCCAATCGCAGTCTTGCAGCCGCGGCCAAAGCGTCCAAACATTTTTATTGACTTTTGTCTTGCATCATTTAGTTTCCCTTGATGCCGCACTGCTTAATTTCTGACCTTCCGGGTACGAGAGCAGAAGCCGTGGCCTCCCGAGGGGGTGAAGCATCCAAAAAGACTATTTTAAACTATAAAAGCAGCTGTTTCGAAAACATCAAAAACAAACTATTTAAGGGATCAAAAAACCTATTCCGCAGATACAAAGGAGGCAAGCTAATTTGATCAGAAAGTTATTTCAGGGATCAACAACAAAACTAGTCCTATTTTGCAAGCAAAGTAAAGAGGAGGCATTCCAGGTGGAGGGCTTGCCCTCCGTTTGCTTCCGGAATCCCGCCAGTGCATAGGGAAAAACATTTTGTCAGTCCAACAGAACCTGCGAGAACTCGGGGTATAAATCCTTCTGGCCGTGTGTGAAGGGGCGAGCCTCTTGGCTCTGGTCCGGAAAGCATTCCGGCCGAGCCCGGGTGTGCGTGTGTGTGTGTGTGTGTTTGTCTTTTTGCTGGCATATATTTCTCAAACACGCCCCCTCATTTGGCGATTTCGGCTCATCATATATCTTAAACACGTTGGCCGGGTCATCCTCTATCTTCAACATGCCGCGGCACTTGGCGATTCCGATTCATCCTTTGTCTTAAACCCGGCTCCTCATTTGCCGATTCCGGTTCATCGTATATCTTAAACACGCCCCCTCATCTGGTGAGTCCAGTTCATCATATAGATAGATATGAATATATATATATATATATATATATTAAACACGCTCCCTCATATATCTTAAACATGCCCCCTCATTCAGCAGCAGGCTCAATGACTCACTCGGCTGGAACCCAGCACCATGTCTTGCCTGGGTGAGTCCTGAGCCGACGAACTCTCTCCACGACTGCATCTAGCCCTGCAGGTCGGCAACGCATCGATGGACTGACGTCCTGTCATCTGAAAAGAGAACAGGACTTCGGGAAACTGCGAGGCGCCCAAAAGTCGCCTTGGAGCAAAGCCGGGACACCCGACAGGAAACCCACCTGGTGTGACTAGCCCACATGCCCTTAAGAGTTCGAAGAGTTCCCGCCGGAGACCCACAGCATTGCATCAGGACCCAAGCCGTTTCCAGTCCGTGGAGTCAAACGCTTTCTGGAAATCAAGCGAAATCCGACGCAGCGGTCCTCTCCTCCCCAATGCCCAGGGAGGAGAGTTGAGTCTCTCGGTCGTGGCCTTTGAGGCCACCGCATTGCATGGTGCCCAATATGCCACGCGGGAGATGCTTGACTGCTTCCCTGGAGCGAACTCGCGCCCAAGCCCGGCACATGATGCTACCAACCGAAATCGGCCGGGTTCTCAAAGTGTCAGTGATACCAGTGCGGGTGTCTTTAGGAATGAAGCACAAATGCGCCCGAAGGCCCGACGGCCAGTTCAACACACTGAGGCACTTCCACTTCCACGAACCGATTCCAAGCGGCGTCTGGCAACTGAAGCAGGGACTGGGCTTCCCTCGGCGGTGCGACTTAGCATCATTGCAGAAGTAACCCACCTAAGTCAGACAGGTCTCGGCACCACTGGACCAGGCACGCCACAAGTCTGAGGCATTGTGGGCCTGCAGAATTGCGTCCCACTCCTCCTGAGGGAGAGCGCGCCGGCCCCATACCGACAAAGCGTCGCTGGCAAGTTCCGCCAAAGGATTGGCGACGCGATTGGGCTTCCTGAACCCCGAAGCAGCAGCGTTATGGCTATTATGGCCAACACGAAGAGAGAGGAGGGCTCCGTAGTGGTCAAAAAGCGGGGAAACCACCTCAAGCTCACTGGTGGAAAGGCTCCCTGAAACCCACATCGAGTCAGTGGGGGTGCGGCTAGTCAGGTGGCGACTCGTCGCGACAAGTCGCGCTCCCATTCCCAACAATGCATCCGGCAGGGCGCCTGTGCGCGGGTTCATGTTAAAGTCCCCTGCCAACACCACGGTCGGTCTACTCAGGCAGGACGTCTAGCCCAGGCCCCGACCCACGGTAGGCCGCCACAAGGGTGAGCGGAACCGAGGCTCCGTGCAAACTGGCTCCCGGCACTTGGTCCTGTACCAGATTGCATTGCTGGACCTTGGCACAACTGTCAGAGGCTGCTGAGCGACGCTGGCCATGCCACCGTTTCCACCCTGTTCCACGGTTAATCATACACGGCATTTGGTTTCTATTGACTCCCGTCTCCTCAAGCAACGCAAAGTCGGACAACACTGACAGCAGAGCATCACGGTGTCGCATCCCTCTAAGGCCACGATGCACAGCTGACTGAGCAGCTGCAGGCACCATTTCAAGCACGCGGGCTTCCTCCGTAAGAAGGGCCCCGCTGCCCCTTCAGCTCTTCAGAGGCGGGTTTGCCTTTCCGTTTCCTGCTGGTTGCCTTGGCTTGCTTCTTAGCCTGAGCACTCCACTCTGCCCACTCGGCCTTGTGAACCCTGACAACGGGAGAAGCCTCGCTCTTTGCTGCCGCACAGCGTGCAGTCGGAAGTTGAACGCGGGAAACTAGCTGATGACACTTACAGCACGCATGGTAAGGCTTCACATACGTGTGTCCGAGCTTGCTCGAGTACTGCCGAAACCTCACTGGCTCAAAGCCAACCTGATGCATGCCTTTCCATGAAGACTTTTCTAGAGTGTAAACAGCTCCTGCCATCTGTCCTGAACCGCGCACTGCACACTGTGGAGCCGGAGGGCCAAAGCTTGCTTGTGTCCTCTGGGGAGGAGCTCACAAGATTCCGTCCGTGAATCTGTAAGACATCGAAGCCTCTCCGTGCTTGACACTGAAGTCACAACCCGGAACAGGGCACTTCCACCAGACTTGACTATCAGAAGGCGGGACGGCCGGAACAGCAGGCAGACCACACGGAGTCTTTTGAGCGAGCTCCTCAGCTGAGAGCATCTGGGCCGCTGATTGTGCCTGGCCTCTTCGCAGGCTTGCTTAGCCACCGAGGCAGCGACCTTGAGCCAACCCGCACAGGGAGGCTCTACGCTTCGCAGTGGGCCTAGTCTCCTCAGCAAAAGCCTTAGGACACGTCTCGCTGTGGTGCTCTGAACGTCCACCTCTGCAAGGGGTTACCATGCTTGGAGCTGGGGTCTTCGGCTCAAAGAACCCTGTGTGCACCGCGCCACTTGGCAGAGTTGAACTGACGCCACGCATGCTCCCACCACACCGTCATGAAGAGGGCCTTCCCATTGAAGAAACTCCAAAAAAAGACGCGGCCCTCCGTGGCTTTATGGTCCTGCCACTTCCGCTTGTGGCGGATAACATGCCACCGAGATCGCGACAGACGCCTCAGTGGCGGTCTGGACGCCTGTGTCTCAGGCTGCTGTGCTGTACCGCTTGCTGGGCCTGGGAGTGGAGCAAAGGGAGGGAGAGCGCGCCCACCTGGCTGCCACACGGACCCTTGAAGTCGCAGCAGAGACCAAACTGGGGTCCGTTTGGGAGTGCAAGACGGCGGAGAAAAAATGAAGGTTTAGGTTTGATGGTTTTAGAAGATCTTTCTTTATGCCTACGTCTGCTGCAGAGAATGCATGGGCCTAAGTAACTAGATTTTTGATAAGGCAAGTACACTTGTAATTAGTTAGGATCCTTAGTATGGGACTAGCTTTTCGTCGTTCTTTCTTTCTTGCTTCACTCGGTGTTGTTCGTACTTTCCTTCTTACATATTCCTGTCTTTCCGCGTTCTTTCTCTCTGCGTGGAATTGTTGTCTCTTTCCGTCTTTATTTATTTCTTTAGTTATGTGTTTATGTTGTCTTGCTTTCAAAAAGTCATATTTGCTTGATTACGTGCTTATTTCGCTGTTTGTTCTTTTGTTGTCTTTCCTACGTTACGTCGCTAATTCGTTTTGGCTTTCTTTGTCTCTGCGCTGGATTGCTGTCCTTCTTTCTGTGTTTCTGTTTGTTGCTCGTTAGTTCTTTCATTATTTATTTTTGTACTTGTGTATTCATGTTTTCATTTCTTTATTTATTGATGTCTTTCTTTAGTTCTCTTTTTTGTTCTTTAGTTAGTTCTTTATGTCTCTCTTCATTTATCTATCTATCTATTTCTGTCGTTATCTATTTCGCTATTTCTTTATTGTTTTCGTTATTTCGTTCGTTATTTCTTTACTTGTGTCTGTACTTCTTACTTTCTGTATTTATTCCTTTGTTGTGTTAGTTCTTTCTTTTGTTGTTTCTTTAGTTCGTTCTTTCTGTCTCCATGTCTTTCTGTTGTTTATGCATGTCTTTCGTTCTTTCTTGGTGTCCTTATCTATGTCGTTCTTTCGTTGTTTCTTTGTTTCTTTCGTTCGTTCGTTCGTTCGTTCTGTCTTTATGTATTTCTGTCTTTATTTCTTTACTTATTGATTTATTTCGTTCTCTCTTTATTTCTTTATTTATACCTTTCTTTACTTCTTCCTGTATTCATTTGTGTCTTTCTTTGTTTCTGTATGTATTTCTTTATTTCGTCATTTCTTTCTTTCTTTCTTTATGTATTTACTTCTTTCTTTCTGTATTTCTGTATTTCTTTATTTCTTTATTTCTGTCTTTGCTTCTTTCGTTGTTTCTGCCCGTCCTCCTTTCAAGCTTGGAGTAGTTTTTTGGGATCCCTATCACAGGTGTCTATGCTTTGTGTTGTTCCGTTGTCTTTTGCCTTGTATTCTGCTTATCAAATAGGAAAGATTGCTGATCCCTTGAATAGTTGTTTTTGACCTCTTAAACAGTTTTTGTTGAACCCCTATCCCCTCCCGAAGACGCTTTTCATACAGCATGTGGATTCGAAGCACGCGCTCTGCATCCAAAGAAATACCACTAGCAGCATATAGCCAAATCCTTACAAAGGCGATCTCATTAGACGCGTCTGTGTCCAAAAACTGCATCAAGTCGGGTATGAAAATCATCTACGCCCACCCTGAAGTTCCGTACTGCAAATCGCCAACAGTGCATGCTCGTCTTGCTTTACGCCCGGCAAGCTTGCAGGGTTGCCACTCCTTCGAAAGGGTTTGAGCTTGATTTGGGTTTATGGTGGAGGATGGTGCCGCCACGAATCGGAAGAAGCGAATCATATCCTGTGCTCTGCGATTTGGATCGGGGGCCGAATTGGATCGGGGGCCGAATGGGGAATCGGATCCCAATGCCCTAAGCCCGAAACGAAACCCTAAAGCAAAGGAAGCCAAGCCGGCCAAGCCCTAACCTCCAAGCCCGAAAGCACAGCTAATCCCCGAGGCCGAAACCCTAAAGGCGCCGCCCAACCCGAAGGCCCAAGCCCGAAGTTGTACAAACCCGGAACCAGTCCATTCGCCCAAAACCCTTCAAAGCCCCATCCGAGAATCCTGAACCCAACCCCAAACCCTAAGCCAGAAACCAAGCCTGAATCCTACATAAGGGCTTGAACATGCCTGATCCCTAAACGAAACCCCGAAGTCTAAGCCCGAAACAACCCTAGAGCCTAAACAGCCCCTAAAGCCGCCTGCGCAAGGCGAGACTGATATACAAGTCTAGTTTAACCGAAACACTACGGCCGAAACCCCCAAATCATATGCCCAATGCCCTAAACCCGAAACGAAACCGCAAAGCAAAGGAAACGTCAGAGAAGCCTAAACCCCAAACTCACTAACCTGATTGCAGTAACATCCCTCAACCCTAAACCCTAAACCCGAACCATTACAAGGATCGACGACAGCCACCCCGAGTCTCAATTGATGGTCTCTGCGCGGGAAGCACGGCTAGAGCCCGAGGCCGAAACCCTAAAGGCGCCGCCAAACCCGAAGGCCCAAACCCGTGAATCGACAAAGGGTTTAGGGTTTAGGGTTTAGGGTTTAGGGTTTAGGGTTTAGGGCACCTCAGAACCCACAAGCCGTGAATTTTGGAGCCTGGAGCCACTGGTGCAAATAACTGGCTAGGAATCGCACCATGCGGCCATCTTCAAGCTTCACGGTCTTCGCATCCTCAAATCTGACCTTGGCAAATGATCCCAAGAGTTTAGTGCAAACCCCCACCAGAAAAGCACACGCAATCTGATTCGAGGAGCATAGCCACCAAACGGAAAGGCCCTGAGGACAAACTCTGTACCATCAGGGCTTCGTCCAAAATTCACCACCTGTGCGAATGTCCGGATGTCTAAACTACTGACGACAAACCTGCAGGCACAGGTCAGCTGTCACATCTGTCACCATGCAAGCCTTGCCTCCGGCCCAAAGCCCAGAGCGAACTCTGCCGCTGGGAGCCCAATGCTCCGCATGCACAGGAAGTGTCCAGCCTGCCAGTCGGGAGTCTGGACTACGGAATGCTGAACTCTCACAGCTCTCAGTGCTTGTTCCCAACAAGGCCTCGTGGCACACAATCGCCAGTGCCAAGGCCCCAACTACCTCATGCAACAAACAACTACTTGCAGTCTTCGCCGGAATCAATGTGCCGAAATTGCCTAAGCCTAAGGCTCCGCTCCATCTTAGGTATAGCGAAGTCCGAAGAGGGCAACGACTGAAAGCAAGATGCCAGAGCCGGTTGATCGGAGGGAAGCCCGGGGCCGACGGACAGAGCCAGTGAAGAGGGAACGTCTGCAGGCGCGACCTTCGCCATGAGCCATGTGAACGCTGCAGAGCATCGTGCGGCTAACTTCTGTAACAGGTCTTGCTCGGCTCTAGCAATTCTAGAACATCTACGGCATGTTCAACGGTGTCTAAGCTTGCTGCAGAAACAACAGAGGCTTGCCGTCGTTGCTGCGGCTGCCTCAAGCGACTCCGCCCCCCAAACTCCCATGTTCTGAGCGTGCAGGCATGCCTGTTTGCAATGACTCTAAAAGCTATAGGAGTGATCTAGCAGGAAGCGGAACCTTCTGCGGCGGAACCGCGGATCTGAGTCCACAGCTTCAACGTACTGAAAAGAGAGACCGTATGCGGCATGAACACACCACATGTCCTTTTGACGTGCCTCCGGGCACTGATGCCCAGCACGACGAGGCCCAATGCGACCGGCAGGCGAGCTGCAACGAAAGCATGAAAGTAGTTTGACAACTGACAGCAGTCCACAGACGCACCACACGCACGTTCACTCAAAACTTCTGCATAATGCACAACGCCCCTTCACTTTGCAAAGTAGTGTTTAAACCTGTGTGCGAGTGTCGCGGCGCCTCTGCTCTCCTTGCAGATTGGTCTGGCATCCGCTCGTGGCCAAACAGCCACACAAGCCTTGGCGGGCTAAGCACCCTGCTCTGACCGAGTTTGATGAAGGTTAAAGTGCCTACTTCAAGTCGCGCGAAGCTACATAGCAATCTGCGCAACAGCTTGCTTCGAGTTTATACTGCTCAGCGATTTGCTGCATGTGTAAAAAGATATTCGTAACACAACAAAAATGGCCGTCCCGCCTGACTGCTGCCGGCGCGGTTGAAACCTCGAAATGGCCTCTGCCTGAACCCTAGCCAGGCCTGGGACTCGAGAATTTGCATCGCAATCATGCTGTCCAAGCTGCGGCAGGCACTGATACTTTCACATGCTGCGGTGCCGGGGCAAAGAGCGCCATATCCCAGGGAAACAGATTCGTACGGGATGCAACTGATGCGCTCAGAAGCGATGCATGATGGCATTCTGCCCTACTCATTCCAAACACAGGAACCTTGTTCAGAACATCGCTATACAAGCAATCACCTTTCACATCACCGATGGCAGTTTAATGCGATTGGGCCATTTGGCTGCAGTTGGTCTGGACATGTACCTAAACATGAAGTTCTCACAACAAAGTGAAACCAGCGGAGCATCAACTCGGGACTCACTACTTAAGGATTCTGTGCATGAGCAGAAGCACTACGTGTTTACGAATGACCACATTCTGCTGGCGCCACTGGCGGGGCCAGGCGCTGACTGCTCCTAGCTCACCAGCTGGGGTTTCAGTACAATGCTAAGATATATTGCAATTATGCTCTGCTTGCAATTTCGTGTCCCACGGGAAGACGAGGATCAGCAGGCACAGTCTGTACGGCAAGCTTGCCTACAGCATCTACGGTCGACTGCGCGTTGCGTGCGGCCAGTGCCATCCTGATGGTGGGTGTTGTCGAGAATCGTTTACGCTTCTCACCTGCTCCCATCCGTAAACAGACAGGCTTGGAAAAGCCGAGGTTCCGGCTTCATCAGAATCCCACGCTCCATCGTGGCCGATGCGAGCACCAAAAACAAGGACATGGCTGACAACGGAACCTACGCACCATGAGTCCGTACTTGCACCCCGAGCTACGGCTCAATACGTCGATTGTGTTGCAACAACTTAACTTCGCCAATAGTCGGACATCTCGCACCCAGCGATGATAACGCATGTAAGGTGATGTTCGGGTGATCCTGCATGCATCCACAACAAACTTCCCGCTTGGGCCAGGTGCTTCGGTTCTAGATGGCTAAGGCAACGAGCAACACGCATCTCACAGCATGCGAGTACTGGCGTTTATATCTGATTTCATCTAGTGTCAGTGGCGTATCCGTGCAGAGCACAGAATGGCCTGTCTCTCCTTTTCGTGCTCCTCGACGGCCTGCTGATGCAAGCAAGACAGCAAGACCCAATTGCGCACGTTGCACGCGCTTACGTAAGATACCCTAGAAAACCGCGTAGAATGGCAGCGGCTCTTCTCCATTGTATTTGCTCAGTCACACAAGTCCGTGAATCGGTCAAGCACCTGTTCGAACCTTTCCTTTGCTTTCTGCACGATTTCCTGCAGGCGAATGTGCCGATTGAAGAGGAAGAATCAGGCTGAGCACATACCCACTACATCCCAACTGCTGGAGAACGTTGAAGAGCAATCACGTGAGATCCAACCTCTCATGTCAAACACGGTGACAAGGGAAGGCTTCCTGTAGCGATGTGGAACAGATTTCGTCCTTTTGTGTGGCTACTCAAGGCCAGAAAATGTACGAGTATGACAAGAACGAACTTTTGCCCTGCCACAAACAATGTTAATGCATGCTGAACAGCGTGCCGTGCTGGTCCCATGCAAGAAACCGACTTCATAAACTCGCAAACACAAACCCTGCCGCTGGAATGATGTTCAACAGAAACTCATGACTTGCTACAGGTGCATCAAAATTTCCACCCTGCCGGCATGCGAGACTGAGCTCCCTTTATCGTCTGTTGGGTTCGCGCTTCCCCTGCCTCCAAGGACAGCTTGGGGCTCGATCCAGCCGATCTGAAGACTTTCTCTCTATCTCTCACTACCGTTTTTGGGGGGCCAGGGATCCCACCTCGGGCTTTCGGGGCCCATCCCCCTCTGCCACAGGGCTGCCCCCTGTCGCCATGCGGTTGGTGACAAGCGTGGCCACGTGTTGTGCTCCCTTCCAAGATGTGGGCCGGACCTTTGCCACCCCTTGGCTGTCTTTCGGATCTGGCTCTTTTTCTTTCGCCAGGGCTAGGGGCAAGAGGGGCCCCTGCTCTCTTTCTTTTGCCAGGGCTAGGGACAAAGGGATTGCTGCCCTGCTCTTGGCTTTGCTTTGCTCAGGGTCAGAGCCTGGGTTCCCCGGCCCGCGCCGAAGAGCTTCGCTATCCACCTGCTCTCTTGCTTGCTTGCAGGGCGTTTGGAGGGGGGAAAGGTTCCCCACCCCCTGCGCTCCAGCGCTACGCCAGTGTCCGCGCACCTGTTCTCTCTCTCTCTCTCTCTTTCTTGCTTGCGTGCTTGCTCAGCGTGTGGGCCCTCAGTACTGCGCGGGACTCCAAAACCCTGCGCCCGAATCGCTACGCGAAAGTCCTTCAGTTTGTTTCTCTGCCTTTCCCGCACGCGAACGCGTCCAGGCATCTTTCTGTCTGTCTGCCCTTCTTGCTTGCTTGCATGCTGAGCGTGTGGAGGACCTCTTTGCTTTGCTTTGCTTTGCTCAGGGTTAGAGCCAGGATCCCCAAGCCCGCGCCGAAGCGCTCCCCTATCCACCATATTGGTAGTAGGGCCTGGCTGTGCAGCAACTCGGCGGGTCTGCCATTTTGGCAGGTGTGGAGTGCTTCCGTGGGCAGAAAACTAAGCACCGTGATCTGTGACTCAGCCTCACATGGAGTACTCCCGCGAAACGGCTTAAGGAGGCACCTTCTTGTGTCCCTCAAGGAAAACAGAACCTAGAGCAGCATCTACAAGTACATGTCACAGCGGGTGCCTCCTTTGCAAACTCAGCAACCCAACCTCACCTGCCTGAGCCCTGCCTGCATCCCGAACTGAAGCCCGAGCCCCCCACACGTGGAGGACCTCTCTCTCTCTCTCTCTCTTTCTTTCTGGGAAGGGGCTGCCCCTGCTGTTAGGGTGAAAAAATGGGAACAGAGCGCTTAGGTTTAAAACCCCGAGTCAGCAGTCAGCTCTCCTCCCCCTTCTGCTCCGCTCATTGTTGCAAGTATGCCACCCACCCACTCACACAGCTAGCGTTGCACAAAAGTGTTCTTTCTGTCTCTCTCTCTCTCTCTCTGTCTCTCTCTCTCTCCCTCTCCTGGGCATGGGGGACTGTCAAATCCCCCGGGCATAGTGCCCACCCAACGTTTTGTTGGGAGCAGGGGAGTGAGTAGCTTTCTGTCTCTCTCTCTCTCTCTCTCTCTCTTTTTCGACCAGGACAGAGGGCACGAGCGGACGCTCGAACCCCTGCGCGTGCACGGGCACCTGCTGGCCTTTGCACGGTTTTCAACTGCTGAGCCAGTGGCTCGGCTCTACAAGCGCACATGAACATGAAGTTCGACGCCTCCCCCGATCTACACCACATCTCAAAGTAGGACAGCTAAGTAATCCTCCCTATACGCACTATCAGAATGTTTTAGCTGGCGTCGGTCCCCCATTGCAACTCCTTGACCTGGCCTCCGTGCGCGCTAGCGACAGCACTGACAACATGCTACATGCAAACACTGGCAACGCATACACGTATGTACCGCGACATGCGTAGACGACCTGCTGCACACACACGAGCGCGCCCGCGCACGACTGAGGAGGAAGGTGGGTTCACTAGCGGGTCCCCCATTTCCTGGGACTTGAGCCAAAATGCTTCCTTTCGCCAGGGCTAGGGACAAGGGGGAAACCCCTGCCCGCGCGCGCTTGCGCCCCCGACTGTTGCGGAGCGACTTATTACATCGGCAAACTCCAATAAGGGTGCGATCTCTGCCTTTCGAAGTCAACACACCAGAAGGAAACAGCGAGCCAGCAAAGGAACGCTACATATGAAAAGGGGACTAAGGCAGAGGTGTACAATCGTGGAAGTCTGAGGCACCGGCCCGGGAATTAATGTTGTATAATATAGTATGAAAGTACATGTACATGTGCTAAGCCCCAGAGAGGGGGCGAGGCTTCGAGGAACATGGAGGCTCCAGCGGCCCGTCATTAAAAAGCGGAAAAGATGGAAGCAATGGGGTTGCCCCCGTGCCAGGTGTTAAACGAAGCTGGAGAGAGAGAGAGAGAGAGAGAGAGAGAGAGAGAGAGACTACCTCTCACTCTCTTTCTCTTGCTTGCTTGCTTGCTTGCTGGGGTTTTGGGGTGCACGCACCCCTGGCCCTAAGGCCTACACCTCATAGCACGCTTTTGCTTTGCTTCGCTTGGGGTTTGAGCTAGGGGCAGGCCCCTTCCACGGCGCGCTCTCTCTCTCTCTCTCTCACTCTCTCTTTTCAGCTCAGTCAAGAGAGCACGAGCAGTTCTCGCACCCTCCGTGCGTAGCCACGCGCTTGTTCTTGTCTTCGGCTGGATTTAAAAAACGTTTCGGAGAAGAGGACTTGTTGCTCCCTCTTTCTCCATAGTTGTATGTCCAATGTACAGACACCGGGACGTGGGATGTAGCAGGTGCCAGGAGGCATGCGAGCCGACACGAACAACCTCCCCACTTACCCCTCTCTGACCACAGATAGTGCCCCCTGCCCTGGCCTCCTCCGCCTGCCCTGGCCTCCTTCCCTCCCGAAGCTAAAAAGGTAGCAAGGAAACAGCGAAACGAGCGTTAGCAGCCAGTAGCACTTGCAGCATGACCGCTAGCGGATCTCGGGGCCGGCCGTTCAGGTTCAAATAACTAGCAAATTCAGGAAGCTGCAGGTCCTCGACTCGCTGCTCCGCTGCCCACTTTAAAGACCTGCAGGCTAGAACGGCTGGAAGCTCGAAAACGGCGCTTTCACCGGAGCTGTGTGCTGAGAGAAGACAAGAACACGCCGTTGCACGATGCGGCCCTGGCTCAAGCTCTTCTTGCTTCTCTCGCAGCGCTTCGTCCAACTGCCGGGATTGCAGAGGGAAGAAGAGCAATTCACGTTAGAGAAGTCTGCAAAGAAGATCTTCAAAAAGACACGCAGCAAAAAGTCAGATGTCGGCAGACTGTCCTGCTTTGCTCACCCTAGCGGTTGCAATCTGCTTTCAACAGATCTTATACGTTTCAAATAACAAGATTTAATAAGTCACTCCCTGCGGGTTTCCTACGGTGGAAGTGTGTGAACAACGAAAACATCGAACGAGACTGAGCCTGGTCCTCGCATACAATCACCCGACGGCATCTCATATCCAAGTCGTCCATTCCGGGATTGACGACTCCAGAGTCAACATGCACTGCTGGTGAGTTCTAGTTTCGAAAGCCATGAAGTTGACCAAACAGGCCTGAACCAACCGTCACACACACAAGAATGCAGGCAGCGGCAGCATGAGCTTTTTTTTCAAAGAGCCACCGAACCCCTCGTGGTCCTGAGCACCCAGTACATTTCATCGTCCGTGAATGTACACCGATCCCGTTCGCTCCATCTGGACAAAGTGGCGCCGCTTTGCCGAGGCTCAGTTTTTGAAGTTCAGCATCAACCTTCCGTTAAGCAGTATGAAACATGCGCACATCGACCTTGACATCAGCCTGCAACTTCTTTCACCAGCATAGGACTCAGACGGGTCAGTAGCTTATAGCCGAAAATTCAACAAGAATCCGTGCAGTCAGCACGGGCAAGAGCCATTACCTGGTCCAGTACGGATCAACGTGCCTGCCCGGTCTGGCACATCGCATATCTGCAGATCGTCCTCGCACCATAAAAGTAGACTGCTCGATGTCCGTTGACCAAAGAGAAGTTCATGCTCAGGATAATGTGAACATCAACGCCTTGAAACCTGGTACAAGTAGGTGCTACCCATTCACAGACGCAGTGAATCCTTGACCGGGTGGTAGGCGTAGAAGGTCGCCGTGCTGAACAGACCCACCTCAAGCAACCAACTCGCACAGATCCTAACCAGTGACTCTAGCCGCCTAGAGCCACACCAAAATCAAAGCCAAGCCGATTTAGCATGACTTGGTCCGAAGATAAGATCAAACACTTAGAGAACAAGATGCACAAATGCAAGTTGTTCTGCGATTCTTTGCCCACATACCACAAGCTCTGAGCAAACGGGCACTTGTAAACTTGCATTCCTTGTAGCTGCACTCGAAAGGAGGTGTCGAACCTGTTGCGGCCCACACGAGCAATTTCTCACAGATCCAAGTGCAGACAGCAAACCAAAGCGGCCTTCGTTACTTGCGTGCTCGTGTCAAGAACTACCCAGGTGTTGCTCTCATTCCATCCAACCACACGGCATGCCTCCAATGAACACCGCATGAGGCAGCGGATAGAGCCGAAGCCTTGGGAGGATCCCTGGTGCACTAGCGACATTGATGGATGCGCCTTGTATGCAGCTTCCTGTCAAGTACCCGGCGTGTGGTCGTACTCCCACAGGATGTTGCTTTCTTCCAGTGGCAGGGGGACAAGGTGCGCCTGCAGCTTGACATTGTAGGTTGTGATGCTATTTGGGATGTACAAAGCTGTGCCGGGCGAATCGTGGCAGCAAGACAACACTACAGACACACCAGAAGTAATGCACACATCACCTGTCATGCTGATCTCATTAAACTTTAGTTTGCAGCGCGAAAGGCCGCACTCCGACACTGAATCATCGCAGCGCCTGATCCAAGATAAATCGTGCAGCCTGTGTGTAGCGCAGATCGTCGAAACCTTGCACCTTCGGCTTGGAATTCAATCTGATCCGCTTTGTAAGGCAACGTGCATAGTATGAGTAGTTATGATTGGTCTTTGCTTACTGTCCTTCTTTCGGGCGGCGTTCGGGGGATCAGCCGCCACCGTACTCTCTCCCACCATCTTCTATCTCTGTCCCGTTATCTCTTCTTCTCCTCTTCTCGGGTTACGAAAGAAGAGGGCATGCAAAGCTTCGCAACTGTCTATGCGTCGCTGATAGGACTGGATTTTGCAACAAAGTTGGACGAGAAGTACCTCGCTCGTCCTTGTTGCATCGTTTGTTATTCTCACACTTCTAGCAGGAGGTTGGCGAGTGCAGCGAGGGTCTAGTACATCTTCTTGATCCGCAGACACATGTCATTGCAGCGAAATATCGCCTCCCGCATGCGAGTTCTTGCTTGCGGTTCCATGCAGGTTTTGTTCCGGCACCTCTCACTCGACTCATGGCAAGGGCGAGTTGGCTCCCATGGACTGTCGCTTCGATACGGTTCCTAAAGCTGCGGAGGTTGGCATAGGCCTTCCGGAGCACTGATGCCAGCAATCATACACTGGCATGGGGCACAGCAGCGCCTGCGACTCCGATGAAGGCAGAGGAACGGCCTCGCGCTCCGGAAAGCGGCCAATGTTCACATGCCCAAACCCGCAAGCGGTAGGCCTCGTGTCGACGAAGCAGGCGTAGGACATCGTGGCCTGGATTTTTGGCATTGGAAACGTGCCACCAGGTAACCAGGTATACAGAAGGAACTCTGCAGGGATCCAAGCGGAAGAAAACCATCTCACGGCTGTAGTGCCTGACCTGAGTTGGCCATGCAGCCTGCAAGAGACATGCTCACCCCAACCAGGTGAGCGTGAAACCGTTATACACACAGAGCCCCAGGCTCGGCAAGGGTTTGTGCCCCTGACCTCGGAGCACTGCCAAGAGATGTCAAGAGTCAGGGAGCGCTGTCTAATGCTGAACTTCGACTCCGCCCGAGTCAAAGAAGGCACCTTCTCTTCGATTCGAAGCCGCGACTTCAAAGTCTAATTCGGAGCTGGACAGCTGCTTTCCTACTCAACTTCGCCTTCTTCTCACACAAAGAACTGACGTTTCTTGTTCTGCTAGCTACTCGCATCTTGCCGACAAGAAAATTCTGGCAGCTATCCTGCTTCAGGTGACCAAACTGCAGTGAATTGTACGAGTAATGGCAGAAGCGTGCAGGCTATTAGCCATCAGCTGTGGCACTTCAAGAACTGTGAGATAAGCAGAGCTGTCAGCTGTTCCAGCCCCAAGTAAGCTTGGAGTGACGTCTCCGCTCTCGGAACTTGCACCGACGCAGCCTGCGCCTACTTTCTGCTCTTCTGCCGCAAAAAGATGATGCTGTGTGTTTCAACCCTTCCATGCAAGACTTGAGAAGCTGGCTGCTGGAACGCGTGCACCACACTAAAAAACACAAGTGCAAGATGCAACATTGACCTGAATATGTAAGAACACTCCCTTTCAGCTTGAAAGAGTTTGCTCTCAAATGCCAACCAACGTCAAGCGCTGTCGACTGTTTCGCTTCACAGCACATCGAAGGAGGTGGGAGTATGTGGGAGTCAGTGCTGGTTTCTTAGCATGTCTGCAGCTGCAGAAAATCAGGCCCAACATCTCCCGAGACGGCGCGATTGTTATCGGCAGATTTATCCGAGTAGCTTTGTGCTGCTCGATCTTCTCGAGGATCGGCTATCAGCTGGCTTCTCGGGGAGCAACTCTCACTTCGCACCTGAGGGTCGGACCGTAGGACATCCCTTTTATGCAATCGCGGCGGCTGATGCTAAGTGACACAGGATGTAGAAGCAAGCCACGAGCAGAGGAGGTTCTCAAGATTAGCTTCCCCCGTCCCATTCGTGATTCTTCCCAGTGATCTTTCGCGGTCTCCCCTTCAGCTGCCTCGCTGCAGCACCGCTTTCTGAGCGGGTGGGCTCTGAGAAGCGCCTGATCCGCCAGGGCTTGCTTTTGGAGCTGAGACAGGCGAGACGAGTGGCAAGCCCAATCAGATGAGGCTTCCTACACCTAAAGCTTCTCAGCGAAAACCGTCCTGAATCCAGGGGGACTGAAAACTGGGACCACTGTCGAAGCTCTGTGTACACCACCTCTTCGCCCGGTTGCGCTCGCAAGCTACCGCTGCTATGCGCTCCCGCTCCAGAACCTGGCAAAAGCCAGGCATATGCCTCGCTTCCGAAACTGAAAGCTGTAACATGGAGGAGGAGAAGGAGGAGGGGGAGGAGTAGGAGGAGGAGTGAATGGCCCAAAAGCTTACAGTGGCCGACAACCCGCAGACAAGCCAGCTGCGTAGACGTACACGTCCTTGACACTCCGAAGAAAGGAGAGGGGGACACAGTACCGATTAGCATGACATCGGAGGGACCCGGACGCGCTCGGTAGCTAACCCCTCTCGGAGACGAGAGCAGGGATGCAAGTACAGTGGGCACAGACACCTGGTGGACCCAAGCCCCAGTGTATTTGATGTCCAGATAAGAACCTGCGAAGATGCGAATTGCATGAAACGGCCGCCTTGCCGTTTAAATGAGAATGGGCGGGGACATTGAAAACGGCCTGAAGCTGAAAATGTCAGGGTATAAGACGAGAGGACTGATTGTGGGTGCGTATGCTGAGGTTCGGCCCATGATGAAAAACCGCAGCGAGGTGAAGAAGAAGAAGACAAAAAGCGGAGGCGACCGGGCAACAGGCCTGAAAGGCAAAGGATGTGGTCCTGTGATGCACTGCGAGAATCCGGGAAAAAAAGGTCGTGACAGATCAGAATATGGGAGGAAATGGATTCCTTTCCACGCCAGGTACGGCTGCCTGATGCAAACAGCCCTGCGAAGCCAAATAATCCAGCCACAAGAAGACAACAGGAAGGGCAACAGCTCTCGAAAGAAACAAAGACAAGACGAAGAGGCAACGAGGCCGGTAACAGGCCCTACAATTGACAATAAACAAACCTGAACGAGGCACTACACGGCGAACAGCACAACCCAGCAGAGCCGGGGGTCAAAAGGGAGCTTGGACATGCTTAGGCTCAACAACTTGCTTTGCACCGCATCCTGCTTTCAAGAGACCCGGGACAGCTCGTCTTCACTTGCAGGAAAAATCTGCAACCAACTGGAGTCATGAACACCTGTTGGTGCTCTTGTGCCCCTACATCTACCTGGACAGAACACCAAGGTGGCTCTCGTGAAGCCGAGCTGCAGTGACTAAGCGGAGCTGCTTCTCTGATCGGGACAACGGCCAGTCCATGACCACGGAGGACCTGTGCCAAACCCAATGTGCACATCCGTCTGCTGCCGGACGGAAAGCTTAAGAAACACAACAACAGCCAGACGAGAACAGTGGCGAGCGCTTGCACGTGGCAGAGTCCCACTTCCAAGTGAAACCGTCTGCATCGAGATTCTGGTTTTGGGTGGCTGGACGATGCACTCATCCTGTTGGATTTCCATACCCCGGCAGCATGCAATGTAGCCGACTTGCCCCGTGCACGTGCACGACCACGAATCAATGATGCCACATTACCCATGACTCGGCGCCGGGCCCAAAGGGAACTTCCTCCTCGTCTTCACTGGAAGCCGCAGCTGAGGGTGTGCGCACTTGCTCCTCAGACCGGCGATTAGGAGATGCGTGCGAGACTGCGAGCCGCAGGCCCAGCGCACTCGGCTCCGAGGCCTTCTTGGCGAAGGCACGTTCACGTTCGCATAAACGAGCCTGGCGGCCCAGCCATTACGAAGGAACACCCTCTCCCTCTTCGGGCAGAAGTGTTCAGGCCAGCCTCACGCTGAGTCAGCTCGGTCTCCTTCTCGCCTGAATGCTTCACGGGAAGTGCCATGACAACTGGTGCATGTGTTTATCGACGTCAAAAAAGAATCCGAGACGGCCAATCCATCGTTTGGGTCTATGATGAATGATGACACGTAGGCGACGGCCGCGACACAACCAACTCACAAGTGTGATCACTTGAGAGATTTTACGCGTGCGCTGTATAACGCGCACTCCCAGCGAGTCCTAGACCAACTGGACCGAAATGGACCCCCATTGGACCGCCGGAATCCAAGCGTCTCAGGAGCTGCTCCCGGCACGCCTGACAAAGAGCTTGGCTCCAGTCGCCTCCTAGACTCCAACTGCTTCCGCTAAAAGTGCCGTCCTTGCCTCAAGCCGGCCCTTTGGCATGGCACAACGAAATGCCCGCGCTTCCCGCAACCTTTCTAGCACAGCTCCGCACACAGCTAGGTCCACTGCAACCTACATCAACCTACAATCTGCTCTCAGACCGCTGCAGTGTCTTGAGCGCATCGAGAGCGTACTGCGTCGGAAGCCGCAGCCAGGCCACTTCCTTTCTGCCTTCACAAAGTGCAACCGCTACCTCTCTTGAATCTGCGACACACGTAGCAACAAGCAGCACGTCCATCTCAGCTCATGGCCCAGACGCAGTGCCACCAAACACGGACTCCTGAGAAGGGAATAGTGTGTGAGAGAAAGCCGAGAAAAGAATTGCTGATCTTGGATGTGTTTGGTTCATCAAGATGGCTGGACTGCTGTCAAGATGCATGCCAAGATTCGGCTCGATCTCCACTGATGTGAATAGCTGCATGGCCACGGGCGTCTGACTGGGACCTGGCTCCTCCCATCACAATGCCGCACCAAAGACATCCGGGCGAGTTGTCGGATGAGCGGCCGTCCTTCTTGTAGAAGTGGATCATAAGGTCAGCATGCAAGCTGGAACTGGCTGGCTCGATGATGCAGTATCGGCTGACCCAAATGCCCCACTCCACTGGCAGCAAGATCGGTGCCTGATGAACATATTGTGGCACAGCCCAACACCAAGGCGTTGCTGAAGTTTATACGTTTCTGACAAGATATCTCGGCTCCGAACATGCCATCGCACGTCCACCCAGCAACGGAGCTTCCGCTGCATCGCTGGCATGAATCGTAAACCCTTGGTACCCTCTGCTCTAAGCCAGATGAAGTGAAGCATGTTGATTGAATGATTCGAGGTGGATATGGATGCTCATTACCGTGGTTGCAAAATTTTCCAGACTCATGATGACAACAAAACCATGATGTCTCTCCAGTTTTCCTGGTCCTGGCGGCACCGACAAGCTGCGAAGACGAAGCAAAAACAACAGCCACAATATAAGATTATAAGATTAGCAGCTTAGCATCACGGACAGATCCGGTTGCAGATCTCGGGAAGCCTGGGGCCTGCACAACACCGGGAATCTCCTTGGCCAAGTCTGACATCAAGTAGTGGGGGAGAGGCGCCCTTGGCCTAAGTGCGTCAAGTTCAAGAGCATGCTGCAGCCCGGTCGGAGCTTACGATCGGTGGGGGGCTGCGGATATCTGAGGACTGGACAAGGTTTGTGCGCCTGGATCCTTGCGGCAGCAAGTCGAAAAACTGCGAGGCACTCCAACCTCGGAGCGTCCTTCGGCCCAGGAACGAAAACGAAGCTGGTGCCGTGCGTCACGTGGGCTTCAAGCCGACGCCTGTGGCTGGCAGCGAGGACGTGAGCCCAAGCCACCCTTTCAGCCAAGCTGCATCATGAATTTCAGCCGCTCGAAGCCTTCACGATAGCTTCGGACCTCAGCAAGTATTAACACTTACAAAGGCTGCAGCATGGCTTCGAGTCACAAAATGATAAAGACCATCGTGGCAAAAAGCAGCTACCAGACGAGGTCGGCTCACAAATCAGACTGCAATTGCTGCCGAGCCCCTTCGCATCAAAACTTCAGTTCTGCATGGGCAAGAAAGAACAAGGCTCCCACGCCCTCAGCTGTTGGAACGAAGGCTCGAGAGCTGAAGTTGCCCATGAAGATGTAGGCACTTGGCCTCAAATCAAAGGTGAGATTTGTCAGGGCAAGTTCAGCATCCGCCAAGCCTCAGGGCCCGTGCACACCAGTGCTACCACCTATAGATGTGTCAAAATACACTTCAAGGTAAACAAAGTTCAGCAAACTATTGAACCTCAAGTACATGTACAGTAGGACACTCAGACCGCAGCACAGACAACAGGTCGTAAGATGTCAAGAAACGCTCCATTTCCTCCCACTTCCCCCTTGTACAGATACCTGCAAAACAATCCTTACAGCTGGGCCCTCTGCGGACCAGCTTCCTCATAGCCTCGCAGGAACACGGACGAAACAGACGCACAGCTGCTGGCAGGTCTTCAGTCAGCATGAACACACCTGCCCTGTCCACTTGACTCGCAGAATGATGCCAGAACACAGAATATATAGGGTATGAGGGAAGCATAGGCCTTGAAAAACGACTTCCAGGTCATCCAAAACCTGCGCCTGCAGCTTGCTGGGTTTTGGCCACACAGCCGTTACACGGGAATCGCTGCTGCCACTAGCAACAGCAGCCAAACTGAATTGACTCAACATCCAGTTCTCCATGAGGGCCGGACACTATCCAAATGAACCTGCCCGCCCGCGCTGCCCACTTCAAAGCATACGCAGTGCAGTGCGGAAGTCTGCCTCTGACAGCACCACGAACATGCCGTCAGGGTAGGCAGGCTCGTAGTGCTTCTGGGAACAGGAACAGAACGGAGTCCAACAAGTCTTCAACACTAGCAGTCCCGCAGAAGCAGTCAAACGGCATAAAGATGCCGGTTGGCAGAACGTCTCGAAAAACAACAAAATCTGCGACCTGCCCCAAGCCCTGCAGTGTGTCGGGCCCTGTCAAAGCTGGCGAACCTCTAGCTTCTTCAACTGGTCTTCGGTGAGGTTGCCACCAAAGATCTGTCGTGGCACCTCCTCGCTGAGGCTTGCCTGCCGGGAGAAATGGCTTGTGGCTTGGGCTTGCAGACACTCCAAGTGCAAAATGGTGTCTGACAGGTCCACTGGCAAAAAACCTTGTTCCGGCCCCAGTGCCCGCAACTGACCAATTGATGCCTTCAGAAACCTTCCCAGCCAAGCCTTCCGGGTTATTGCTTCGACTTGGAGCAAGCCGTCGATCTTAGTGCACTAGGTTGCGTGACACGTCGAAGCCATGTGCAACGACATCTGAAGCACCGGAGTGGTAAAGGTACCCGGCTCGGCAGACTTGGTAGCAAGCGCGAAAGATGCCATTTATCACCTCGCCCTCGGCAAGAATAAAGGAAGCGTCGGTCACAAAATGGCCAGACCTCACTTCAAGGGTTTCCACGGATTAACGTGACGATGGAAAGGGCACAAAGCGCACAAAGCGACGAATGACAAGTCCTTCTTGTCATTGCCTGGGCTCACTGAGTCAAGGGCGTTTGCACAACCAGCTCCACTGGCATGACCTGCGGAGGGCAAAAAAAGTCAGTGCATACGATGCATCGGGTAGAGTGCGGTAGATGTTGCCGCATCCAAATCAGGTGGAAATCTGGCCTTGTGCAGATCTTCAATGACCCATCTGCCCTGCAACCTGGAAATCAAAAGGCTTTGCTGGAAGCATTACGAGTATCATTACATTACATCGGGGCACACGTGGAATCCGCAACCAAGAGCAGAGTCGGTCATGTCTCTCTGCAAGGAGGAATAAACCAAGTGTCAAACACAAAGTCCCTTGCGATGCCCCACTGCCTGAATCTTCCCCGTCGTATCTGCGGGATCTGGGGAAGGCGTCCCGTGTGATGTTTGCCGCCGTCTCCCTCTGCTCCACTATCGGCATCCTGGGGTCAAAAGCGCGATCGCCGTTGTTCTGGTTCTGCATCCCCAGCAGGATCGACGCCGCCTGGGATTACCTCCTCCGACTCCGGCCCCGTCGTGCTCGTCGGCGCGAATTTATTCGGCGTCCGTCTGGATGCAGGGCGCGACGGCCACGTCGACTCGGGGGCCATCCGGTCAACGTTGTGGGACATCGTCCCCGGCGCCGTGTCCAGGAAGTCCGTGCCACTGGCCGTCGTCCCTGACACACAGACAGCCGGCGCCCTCGTCGGGGGTGCCGGCGGCGTCCGCTGCACCTGGCCCGCCGAAGTAGACGGCGGTGCTCCAACGCCTCCATGCTGCGCCGGCGTCTGGGTCGTCGTCCCTCCCCCTCCTCCGCCGTTGTCAAACCATAGATAGTTGTTGTCTGCTGGGTTTGGGGCATATCGAGGCCAAAGTGAGGCTAATCAATGCGTTCGAATCTGCAACGATCGCGCTTTGCGGAGGACGCGGCCGCACGCAGTGTGTCAGCAGCGGGACATGGGTCCAAACTGCGCACCGCGAGCCGGAATATTCCGCGAGCTGCCTTCGTGCATGCTTCGCAGTTGCGGCAGCTCTCCTTCTCCTGATGCAAAGCCAGACGCCCACAGCGTTACCACACTGCTTGCGGTAAAAGACGATATCTGCTATGCTCAAACGGCTCGTGGTGCCAAGTCGATCCTGCCCAACCGGACACGTCCGACACTCAAACTGCTGACAGATTCGGTCAAGGTGTTGCCACAGCACCAGCCATATTCTATCGTATACATATTGAAACATACTGCCTCTGGAGCAGCGTGGACAGACACACACACTTGAGGAAGCGGCTCATCGTCAAGTCTGCGCAGCAGCCCAAAGGCGAGCTTCCGCCCAGGGTTTCCAACTAGCGACCTCAACTTGCAAAGACTTCAAGCAGTGTCATGTCAAGTGTTCCAGCTGGGCTTCTGGCGCCACTGTTGTGAGCACCCGCTGGCCGGGAAAGATCCCTTGCACGGCCTTCAGTGGGCTACAGTCTCTCAAGTCCTTAATTTCGGCAGATGGCATAACTGTGTTTGCACTCAGATCCTGACCTTTGCTTCCGGCACCAACGAAGGCCTGAGGAACAGGCTGTAGCTTGCAGAAGTGCAACGAGCTGTTGCTTCCTTTGCTTCAAGTTGCTCCCCGGTGCGTCCGTCGAATCACAACACATTTTTGTGGAGACGGGCCGAGACGGCGGAAGCGGCAAAGAAAGGCCGCCTTCTGCACCGAGACCGAAGCCAAACATGCTTTCCAGTATCATTACGTCGTGGTACACTTCTAAGACACCTCGGACAAAGGGGACTACCTTGCAAGCGCCTCGCCACAAGACAGAAGTTGGTTGCTTCGGTCTCACAGCTGTTGTGGACTGCTCACAACAATCGCTGACGACCAGGCAATACCTGCAAGCATGTGTAAGCTGAGCACCCCATCGCTGAGGATTCCGCTGAAGATTCTCGTTCAAGTTGAGAAAGAGCCGATGGTACAGCATCTCATAGCCTAGGCTGCCACAAGGCACTGCCTATCACCGACACTTTGAATGTTTCGAGTATCCGCTTCCAACGGACACGACACAGTCTGCGATCTGCTTGCAGCGCGGATTCTTCTACAATGGTCTCGGATGCCGGCGTTCTTGGTAGATTCTTCCTTTGGAATCCACCGGGGGAAGCAAAGAGGGCCTAGGCTTGCTTGACAACGTCCGGTCCCTGAGGGAAAAATGTTGCAAATTGTGCAAGCCGGCCCGTGGCATGTCGGCAGTCCAAGCAGGGAGCTCTCGGCTAAAAGCTTCCCAGATCTTGGAAGCTGCGTTGAAGGCGTAAGGTGTCACCTCAGACGCGAGTCGCCGGATGCGGTTGATGCGGTAATCGTACCCAGCGATTCTGCATCGAAACTGCGTCTCAATGCGGTCTTTATACTCGAGGCGTGGGGTTGCTTCAACCACATCCCATTCAACCAGTCCAGGAACTGAGACTGCTGCCTGCGTCAAGACATTGTAGACCTGCACGTGCATGTCCTCTTCCAGACGAAGGCCCTGGCCGTGAAGATCCGTGCAAAACAATCGATGCACCCTGTGGGTGGCGGCTTCTGCTACAAGGGATGCAGTCGAGCACACATGCACAAACAGACATTAGATACAAACATACGATAGATTAGGGTAGAATAAAGAAAAGTGAGTTAGAGTAGACTTTAAATTAGAACACATTAGAGTGAATAAGAAAGATTCGAGTAGGGTAGAGCAAACTAGGCTAGGGTAGATTAGATTAGACTAGATAGTACTAGATAGACGGATTGATCGAAAGATAGATAGCTGGATAGTTAGTTAGATGGGAAGAGCAATAGGTAGATGTAGAGATACGTATGTATATTAAATATATATATATATATATATATAAGTGTGGACCGATGGGTAGACAGATAGATGAACACATAGATGGATACATTGGTAACTAGATAGATAGACTGATGGGCAGACAGATAGATGAACACATAGATGGGTACATTGGTAACTAGATAGACAGACAGATAGACAGACAGACAGACAGACAGACAGACAGACAGACAAACAAAAAGCCAGGCAGGCAGGCAGGCAGACAGGCAGGCAGGCAACCAGGCAGGCAGACGGACCGACAGGCAGATAGATAGATAGGTAGGTAGATGTAAAGATATATCGACAGATAAAAAAGCAGACAGACAGACAGACAGACAGACGAACAGACACAGACAGACAGACAGCCAGATCGACAGATAGACAGACCGATAGAAAGACAGATACATGGATAGACAGACAAATAGATAAACGGACAGATGGACAGCTGTACAAATGTACCGAAAGTTCGGTTTGGCGCATTCTTTCTAACACCAAGCGTGGGCATGTCTAGAAGAAAGGATGGCTACGGATGAGAAGATGTCCTCTTTCGCACAGTAAGCGTTCGTTCTCACTGGGTTTTGGACCGGTGTGCAAATGCACCTTCTACTCGCTGTTTTTTCAGCTCCGTAGCTCTCTGCGAAAATAGCAGGCGAGTCAGAGCTTCTTCTGCAAGTTGAACCACCATACCTTGCAGTCGTGTCACGTCCAGCTTCAACTTCCGAGTGCCAGTTCACGAGCGGACGCGCAGAACGAGTGGCATGACAATGCATCGCAGGTTGAAGTGAAGAGAGCTTCATTTCCAAACTTTCTTGGCCGGTAGTTAACTTTGAACAACTATGGCTCCACAGTGCCACACGCGATTGCACGAAAGAACATTCATTTCCTGTGGGTCCGGCACCCCTCTGTTTCTCTTCTCTTTTCGCGGTTCCTGCATGACAGCATCCTGCATGCTTACGGTTTCTTCAGGTGCCCAAGGTCGCAGAGACTAATGTCTGGATACAAGTAGGAGAGCGGCACAGCAGCATAATCATGAAGTTGGACCGGGTTTCCACTGCCTCAACGCTCCGTAATTTCCTCGTCACTCTACAAGCTGGCAAGACCTGATTCTCCCTCTGGCAGGAGTGCCCGCATGTAGGCTATCGAGGTCCATTCGAAGTAAGCCACGCTGTTCGTGGCTAGATTCAATACTCCTCGCAGGCATGTGGTGTCATGAAGTGTGTCAGCAGGTCACTGCCCTTGCGCCATTGCTGCGTCCTGAGCCGTGGAGGTGACCATGGCCCGCGCGAAGCTCGGCAGCCAGGTTCAGCACGTTTTTCAGCACACCCGGAAACCTTATGCAGCAGGAAGTGCGAACCCCCGCAGAAGACCACGGATGCCTCAACATGCCATCATGCTCACCACGCAGTTCCAAAGCCCTTGAATCACCTCCAATCGCTCCTGCCCCTTTCTCTCAGAAGCCACATATGTTCAGATTGAGCGTCAGCTCTGATGCAACTCTGAGATGCTCTGGGACTGCTCAGCAGGAGTCTGCCTTTTTTGGTATGATCTTTCGATGTGGACGCAAGGCAGGGATCAGCCAATTTGGCAGCCATATACCAGCAGCAGCTCTAAATGGCTGCTGCAGAACCAAGGACACAAAAGTTGAAATCAGCTGCAAGACTTGCACCGGATGATTTCGCTGAGCCTTATCGTTGCACTCAGGAGTAATCCGCATGAAGGGGTGAGTCCAAATTAACCTTCTAACTGCACAGTCACTGCACAGTCATCCGAAGCCTTGTCCTAGCCAAGAAATACACCGCTGATGACCCACATCAGCTGTATGCCGGACAGCCACTGTGAGGTTAAAAGGTCCCACGACGACTTGAGGTCCAGCTCTTTCTGCTCAGCGCCATGCCCTGCCGTACTGGGCCAAATTCAGAGGCGTCCGATCACAGTCTTCCTGCGTTTCAGTGTATGACCGATAGAGGCTCACTGCGCATAGCTGTGTCACAGCTCACTTTGCTCGACTTGTGAGGGGAACCTGAGACCTAGAACATACTGATTGATATGCTTACTTGCATCTTCGCTTGCAGAAGTCACCAGAAGTCCTACGGTACCGCCTCGGCAGAGAGTAGGGCCTGCGAAGGCCTAACAGACCTCGTGCTCAACTTGTACCAAGAGTTGTGTGGGGGATCTCGATTTCTCCATGTCAGCTTCTGAGTTTGGACACCCTCGCAATCCTTCTTCGGACAAAGGCAGCAAGCTGCTGGACACCGTTTCATTTGGAAATCCATCTGCGCCCTTCGCCGTACCTTGTTCTGCGGTTGATCAAGTCAAGCGAAAAAGCAGCATAGCTAAATTAAGTAAACCTCATGAGACAAGTGACTCGCTTTGAATGCGCTTTCTGAGCACCTTTGCACCTTAGGCATCACAAAGACAACGAGGGCTCGTGACAATACAAATCAACATGTGGCCTCGGCTGAGGGAGGATGGAATGATAAAGGCTTCACGGTTTGCCAAGGAGCTGTTCTTCGCCTTTTTCAGCTCGGGACTCTTCCAAGGCTTTCCCATCTCATCCAGAAGGTTCCTCCACTCAACCGCGGTAACTTCCAGCGGCAACTCCCTCGTTGACTGCGGGTCGAGAACGATGACAGAGTACCCGAGATGAGTGCCCCCCCTAAAAACATGAGCCGCCAGTCCTGCCGGAGTCAAAGCCAGCACTCTCCCCGCCCAGGTGAACGCTCTTGCCCAGCAGGCCTCGCAGCTGCGCTTTGCGTGCGACGACTCGCACGGGAGGACTCGGACCAGGCTTTGCGTTAAGGATCGGACTGAGGTCGCCCTCGTATTGGACACCCAGCTGAACACGCGGCTGCTCGCCCCACTCCCTGCCTCCAAACATAACATGTCCAGACTTGCGGCTTTCCATGCTGTCACGCAAGGGCTACGTCTACGTGTCAGCAGCACACCTCTGTAGACTTTGCCCGTTCCACGAAGGAAGCCTCCACCTGGCGGTTGCGAGTAGCTTACGTCCCGAGTAAGAGCCCAGCGGAGTGCTGTGCCCCAGCCTCCGAAGTCCATACGTGGAAGCTTCACTTCGGCCGCCTGCCTTCGTATGCCGACTGCAGATGCCCAAGGTAAACTTCACTGTTGGAACGAAGGCTCTAACTCGTAAAGTCCAAGCTGCCGAATACCCTCATCATCATCGGAGGACATCTCATATCTTGCATCCACGCCGTGCCTAACGCTGAGACAGTAGCAGCCGAGAGATGCATGGTGCATGGTGAGTAGCCAGTTAAGCTCATGATATGAAGTCTCTCCGTGCTGCGGCTTCGTGTTTGGACAGGGTGAGCCGATGCAAGCCATTTGTGACTGGAAGCACTAGCTTCCCCAAGCAAGAAATGATGCTTCCAAGGCACAGATTTTCTGCCGTGACTCGGAAAGCACCCGAGACGTCCCCGGAGGTCTGCAGCGTGGCGACGCCGGCGGCCTTGACCTGTGAGTGCAGTCTCGCGGCGAGGGCTTTGTAATCCTCGCTCCCTTCGGGGCCTCGGGCACCTGTTTGGATCGGAAGGCCAAGGTCCCAGTCAGCGAGGGCCGGTCTGACCCAAGCTTGTAGCGGCTCCGAAGGTAAAGATTCCTCGGTGAGCAATCTGTCTTCTCGTATCTTCTCGTCTCCCTTCCGAAATCTGTCTCTGTCTCTGAGATGGACTTCTTTTCTCAGGCAAGGCCACGAGCCAGCAGCAGCCACGCCGGGTGCCAGCGTGGCGAGATCAGCTGAGAGGCCAAGGCCCACAGGTGCCAGCGAGACGTTGCGCTCCTGGAGCGCTTTCTTGGCTTTGCTCCCTTTGCGAAGCTTAAGATCTAAGCTGCTCTGTGCTGCAAGTACAACTGTGTTCGAGAAAAGAAAAGCACTTAATTCGACACTTCGCTAGGAAATCTGCAAAGGGCTATCATAAAAGTCTTGCAGGGCCTTGTAGCCGGGCCTGTTGTGCATGCCTTGCGTTTTAGGCCCTGAAACATTTGGGGCTATTGGGGTTTGGGGATAGAGTTTGAAGGATTTCTGCGGTTGCCTATGTTTTAGGGACTATCTTCTCCCAAGAGAGCACTCCGTCTACGATGCTTTGCTCCACGGTGCCAAGACAGCCTGGGGAGCACTTATGCTTTGCAGCCTGCACAAGGCCCGCACCTTTATGGTGGCTTTCGTGTCCACGTTCAATTCCAGGCCCTTTCTGAGTTCCTGCATGCGGAGCGAGCAGCGTTCAATCTGTGCTTGAACGGTCATGCTACTGCCGGTGCTGGCAGGAGGTTCCCTGAGCTCGGGTCCGACTTGCCCTTCCACTCTGCAAAGCCTTCAAAGCATTCGGACGGTCAAAACAGATGATATAGCATGTGCAGCATGTATCAAAAGACCATAAACCTTCAGGTATCGGAATGACTGCCGGCTTCTGCAGACTTGCAGAGCGGCTGCCATCTGCTTATGACACTTTGACCGTATAGAGATGACCCAAACATGAACTTGTCACAGCAAAGCTGCGAGAACAAACGTCAAGACCGTGAGTGACTTCAAAGATGCTCCTTTATGCAGTTGATACAGCAGCCGGAGGACTCACCGGGAACCTGGGGCGGCGCTAAAACTAAACCCAGTTGTCGGACCTGAGAATCATGCCTTCACTTGGGCGGCTGATCTGGATCTGGCCAATAGCGGTGCACACTGTCTCGTGTATGGTATGGTCTTTCCAGGTTCCGACCGCGCCTGACATCGTCGGTGTCCCTTCGACGGGCACGGTGGCGTCTGCGCCGAAGGCAGTTCCCAATTTGGCAGGAGCACGGACCTTTGCATCGAGGCCTCACAAAAGCATAACAGGAGAATGGATAGCTGGTCGAGTCAACAAGCACCAAGCCTGACTCAGATATCTTCAGGACATACTGAGGATCCGTGGAGAGTACCTTGCTTGCCTTCTTTTCAAGTCCTCCACCACATGTCGGGGCGAAGCCACAATGAGCAAAAGCAGACGTCCCAAGCTTTTATTAATCCAGTCTGTCCTTGAAGCCTCCCTTTCAGGGCAGCCTGGCTGCAATGTATAAAGTCACTTTACTTTGTTCAGCATCGAACCGGTGAAATTGCATCAGACTGTCACCCAATCCGAGACTCCACACCTCCCACTCCAAGGTACTTTTCTCGGTCTCCGGGTCAGGCTGGAAGACGTTCATCTGATGCCAGGGGATCGTAAACTACACGGAACTGACCGCAATGAGTGCCAACATCCAGCACGTACAAGAGATGCACGGAGCCTTCAAATCTCCGATCTTCGAGCTGTATTCCAATCCGGCGCTTGACTGGATCCAGTTCGGCAAAAGGCCTCTGGGACAGAAAAAACTCCATCGCAGCCGAGCTGTCCTCCACAGTCCAACACGACGCACAAGTGCGGCCGAGAAGCTGTCGCTCATGCCCGAACGTTTCTTAGCATCCACCGCATAAAGAAGGGACACGCCGTTCTTCATCTGCTTCTCCCAGCCCAGGGCTGCATCATAGACCTCTGCGGCGTGATTACAATGCCTTCATTCGTTGTAACAGATTTTCCAGACCACACTTATGTTTTTTAGATCAGTAACGCTCCGGCGATAACTGCTGTGCAAGAGACCACATCGTTGCTGTTGCCAGTAATCGAGAAGTGTCTGGCTTTCTTTCCTTAGACCGAAGAAGTTGAAACGAGAGCTCGAGTATTCACACGGTTGTAGATATGCAGGAATGTTGGTCACCTTGCCTTCCACCGAGACGGTCCAGTCCACGTCATTGCCCTCCTGACACAGGGGGGACCGAACTCTTTTTGCCAATATTGAGCTCTCCTCGCCATAGACTGCCGAAATCATCTGCTACAGATGTAGCTGCTGATCTGACAAGGGTTTCGGCGGGTAGTTGAAGAAACTCAGAGCATGTCTTGCAAACGATCCCAAGAGCCGACACGAAGGAAAACCACTGAGCTCCATCGCTGTGATAGTCTGCCCTCCAGGTCCCCGCCGGCCCCGCACCATTTTCGTACCATTGCAACATGTTGGTATGCAGCGGTGCTCGCTGATAGTGAAACTGGAAGGCATGTAATCTTGTCGATGATACTATGTTCTTGTTGTGCTCTGAACTCTCACTTATCCCCTGCACTTCCTGCACCCAAACAGAACCAAAGCAAAGCTTCAGAAGTGGATTCCAAAACACACTGTGCCGTTTGTCAGGTTTGCACACTAGCTGCTTCCTTACATGCAGCGTCGTTTGCACTGAAGTCTTCCAGCATATAAACTGCTTGAAGACCACGTTGGCGGTACATGGCGGTACGTCGCGATGTCACTCCCAAACCTAAAACGCCACATTGCCATCGCGTTGTTCCGAAACGACCGAGGAGCCCGGACTTGATGTTGAAAGAAAAATGTCGAAAACACCTTGCCATGGTGGTGATTTTGCTGGCCGCAGTAAACACTTCTAGCATCTTAGAGTTTACGATCCGCCTCCCCGCCATGTGAGGCCCGTCCGGAACTGTGGAAAGAACCCGATTTGGGTTACAAATGTGTACTGCGCAGGTGGCTAGTCGGCTCCGAAACCACTACCACAGTCCTCGTCACCTGTCGCCGACATGGAGACGCGGGTGTTTCCCAAAGGCTTCAGCTTGCTGTTCCTGAGACCAGGATCGATCGCAAATGGCGGTGGCCCTGGACATGAGAATCTGAGATTTGCCAGCAAAAGGAAGGCTTCATAAGGTCCGGCATTCAGTGCATGTTGGGCCAATCTACAAGAGACAAAGGTTGTCGGGCTCCCCGCACGTGCGGAGTCTTGGATACTGATAAATTAACCCATTGACATTTGAGTACAGCACTTGCCCAAGAATGCCAGCCTTACCTCAGCAGTACTCGTACCGAACTTACACACAAACCGAGGCTCTGAAGTCGCAAAGATCTGCCCACGCTGAGACCCTAAACCCTAATCCTTCACTTCATTGATGCTGAAAAGCAAATGAAGCTTTGTCGTCACTCGGCAAACGTGCCAGTCTACAATCTACAAGTTAGCTCAGTCTATGTTGGAGCAGTGAAAACCGTAAGCCGGACTAAGCCACCAAATTCGACAAAGTCGATCTGAACTGTGAAAACTGATCTCCGTAGATGACAGTGCTTACACTCCACAGAAAGGCTCTCCCACGCGCACTCAAGCGCAAGAGCTCGAACTGTCCAGAGTAAATAACTTTTTGTCACTGAACTGGAGCTAGAACAAAGACTGTGAATCCCACCGTGGCGAGTTGAAAAAACGGCTCTTTTTGTTCAAGCTCTGGTGCCAACTGACAGCTTAAGATCCCAACTTGTGCTAGGAACGCTTTGCTCAAGTGCGGTTAAATCCTGCCAAGCCACTCAGAGTCGTAGTTCACCCCATAGACGACGTTGCCACCATCCTCTCGTGCGACGAACAGCGCCGAGGATGTCTTGTTGGACGGCTCCGTGGCCCTGCGCTTGCCGTACCAGGTCAAGGCTGGACGTCCGCAAGAACAAGACGGTACAGGGCCCAGGGACTTGTTACTTGTTCTTCTCTTTAAATTCTGGGCCAGTCTATAGAGGTCGCCGTCCGTAGTACGTAGACAGCTCCAGTTCAGCATGTCCGCACGCTTTTTGCCTCCCTGGCTCATAGAAGGGTAGAGAGGATAGAAACGGCATGCTGGCATGCGCGGAGTGGTCAAATTCTCATGCTAACTAGCCGCTTGTAGCCGCACCGCCAGCACACTTTATTTGCTGCTGTGGCGTTTGCACCGTCGTGCTCGCAAGCGCACGCAGTTGAGTCTCCATCACGACACCTGTGAACTTGGACGATTTCCTGCGGACCTCATGTTGAGTTGAGCACTGACCAAAAATACTTACGGGTAGCCTCCTCCTCACTTTGCATGCTCCCTGCTGGACTGTATGTCTTCTGCCGGCCTGACTTGCCACTGCAGGGCACCCTGCGAGACCGTGTCAATCGAAAGCTTGCTTCCGGCGATTCCTGGGCTGTGGAGAGTGCACACATTCCAAGTGGTGATGAAGTGGACGCACCCACCTTTGAAGGTCCGCCGTTAAAAGACAAGGCTACTGCTGCAGCGCTGCGGATGCTGTGGGGCTGCTTCCACACCTGCCGGTGCATAGGAAGGCAAACTCTGTGAAGTTTATGCTGGCACTGGGACAGGTGGCGGCCTTCACCGTCTTTTCTGCCCTCAGCTCGGCGGCGAGGCGACACGGACTTCAAACATGTCGCGCATGCATTCTCAACCTCAATCTGCAGCCTCGGTAGTCGAGTGGCTGCTGCTTTGTTTCCTCTTTGCTCCAGAACCCGGTGGTCCTTAGGTGCAGGATGAAGCAGGTGACAGGGCATGTTTAACCCCAGCGCACGCACACAGTGCTGTGCGTTATACACCGACAGAATAAACGTTCTGAAAGTATCGGCGAGCGCATTGCCACAAGAGCAGCGATGATAGCCACCTTAGCAGGAGTTGAAGCGAGACTGATGGCAGCCTTCAACTGGTGCAAAGGACAATCATGCCCGATGTGGCTTCTTCACCGATGCAGAGGATTTTGAGAGTATCAGTTCTACCGTTCCTAGACAGTTCAACAGCTTTAGCATTCAGCCACCAGGCGAGCCTTAGCTGTTGCAAATCTTGGGAAACGTGCCTGAAGCCTTAAGCTTCACCACTACATCACTGCGTGCGACCTGGACGCACTAAGAGCAGCTGCACGCAGCCCGCGGCGACTGCTTCGGCCGGGCATGTCCACAACGGAGCGGTGGCAGAGAAATTCCAAAATGGCTGCAGGGTTCAGTACACAAAAGCCAAAAGCCATGTCAGAATTGGGCTCAGAGTCAGAGGAAACTCGGAGCTGAGGCACCGCGCATGAGAGTGAAGTCGTGCCCTGCCAGTACACGTCGGCCCACACCAGGTCTAGCTGCCAACACCCTGTCCAAAGGCCACAACAAGGGTAGGAGAAGGAGCAGATCGACCCGGTCACAAACACAAAGAACAGCCTAGGCGATTTGAAGTGCACTCCGTGAAAAGTTCGGGAGGGATGCTGAAGCAAAGTACCTCGCTGTTGCCTTCAAACCAGATAGCTCACTTCTCAAATTTCGACCCAGCAAAGCTTAACCTCAAACATTCCCAGCAGGGAGGAGCAGGGCGGTCACGAGCAACAGACATGCCTCAACCAGACTTCGATGTCTCGAGCCACTGCGACCTGAGCTCAGCTTCTGTAAACAGACTGGGCTAGGGTTCTGGCTTGAGGAAGCTTCGACTTCACATGCCAGGGGACGGGAAGCACGATGTTTCAAAATCCAATCGTGCCACCCGGCCGTCAGTCCGTCAACAAGACAAATGTCACAAGGCATGCCTGAATAACATGCAGCAGTTGCGGCAACTGCACCACTCATGTGACAAGCTCTCCACAAAGGCACCGAAGAGTGGTCGGCATCCAGAAAGACCAGGTCTGCACCCTCGATGAAGCGCTCGCCCGCCTGAACTGGATGCACTTGCATATATATCAAGTTTGGTCGTTGCAAAAAGGCTCCTCGGCAGAAGTTGTCTTTCGCAGCTCAGCCCGTTCAGGGGCGGCGCCGTAAACTGCCTGCAACAAAGAAGTCTCTGCTTCTAAAGTCATGACGCCAACGCGCCGGCTACCCCTCATGCTTCTGGCCGGCAACGACCATGCTTCTGTGCTCAAGCGAGCCGGCTTCAGTACGATGAATGTAGACCTAGGTATGCTAGTGCGTGGACCTTCCCTCCTTCCTCATGAACAAGCCTACAACAGGCCAACGACTTATAGAGTCTCATAGTGTCCATGTGAAACTGACTGTTTTTCTGCACGATCTCCGTCTTCCTCGCTCGATTCTGTCTCATGTTGCGAATGCTCGGAGAACACTCCCTAACCGCCCTAACCCCAGAACTGGCCGTGGTCCCTGTCACGACTGGCGCTCTCCCCGTCCCGCCCGGAGCCTCAGCTGCAGCCTCGATACCTGCACACGGACACGTGTTTCCGCCCGCAATGCATGAGAAGTCTCAGCGCTTGCACGTGTTGCTAGGCTTCCTTCAGTTACGGTGGCGGTCACAAGCCTGACCAGCACGTGCATCCTTGTGCCGGCCGTGTGATTCCCCCAATGTGGTCCGACTTTTGGAAGCAATTTCAAGAGTCTCAGCAAGCGCCATCCCAGATTTTGCAAGATGCCGAGATACCCTGCCGGAGTTAGGGCGGTGTGTTCTCACTGTCAGCATGATGCCCAAGATTTTCAAGCACAGGCCATAGATATCCATAGATTTTCTGTGTCACGGCGCAAACGACACATCCCCGATAGTTTGCATCACGAGCTATGTGACGATGATGGCCTCCGGTGTCAATGAAGCCCTGAGCAGCAGCCAAGGGTAGCCGTAATGAACGGTCCTTTAAGGCTTTTAACTATCAGCTAAACCAATCAAAGCGCGCATGCACAGTGAGGCTGGATAGTCAACTCCCTAGTATCGTTCAGTCCCAGCACCTCGCAACCACCACTGCTTGTAGCGCAAGGATAGCAACTCTCTCTGCTCCTGGCCAGAAACAGCTGAGGTGATGCCAGGCTCTTTCGACTCCCGACACTTTCACAAAGTGACGAGGTCTCAGGTTGGAGTCCTCTGGGGTTGTTGTCTTTAGCGTTCCAGCTCAGACGGAAAGTGTCGGACCCGAGTCTAGTGGTGTGAGGTGACATGCCAGGGCCGCCAGGAGTGCTCAACATTGTAGCTGTGCATAGCTGCGCATAGCACATACCTACGAGCTTCTCCTGACTCCTAAGCTCTTCTCCGGAGATCTCCAGGGTTTGCTCGCAAGCATTCGGCTTTCCAGCGAAGATCTTGCCCTCGCGCCTTCTCAAGGCCCGTCAGCTGCGAAGCCTCATGTCTTGGACAGTGGGTGGCACGCTCTCATGAAACGATCTGCCGATGCTGTCAGGGATCTGACCTGGGGCACTGGCGGCGACCTGGTAATTGAAGGGATCTACTCCGACCAGCCGCACTCGCTCCGGCCTTGCAAGTAACGGTCATGCCCATTGAATACTCCCAGTATGGGTGTGATCCCTAGTTTCGGCGAGGTGCAGAAGCGCTAGCAATTCAGCCGAGGTCTCGCCGGTCTCAACCCCAACCTGCGAACAGAACGCTCTCTTCCATCAGCTTGAAAACGAACTGTCGCTTCTCAACACGAACTGCCTTGCCATACTGAAACCAGTATCTCCGGAAAGCAAACAGGGGCAAATCCACAGCTCAGACCACGGGGCACCTCTGCCAATGTGATGTTGTCGCTGGTAAAACCGCTTTGCTGCACAATGCTCGCAATCACTTCGCCACCTGCAAAAGCTTCTGCACACGACTCAACCTGCTATAGTTGGCCCACCGAAAACCAAGTGGGACTGCTCCTCGTCTCTGCATTCACGATACCGTGTAGCGGCAACGACTCTTGAACTGCATCTGCAGAAAACCTTTCAACTAGCTGAGCTTCAAGCAGTCCAGGCCCCCCTGCTACTACAGCAATAGTCGTGGAATTGCACCTCCATAGCTGGCTCTGAACAAGGAACATCGTACGCCTAACGCACATGTGAAGCTCGTGTGCTGGAATTTGCGAACATTCGAAGCCTCCACAGGCATGTCTGGCAACAGCTGGGCCACCAAGAAGTAAGACAAGTGCCACCTGGAAATTTGTGCAACGTGACTGTCACCGCGCCGAAATCAGGGTGTCGATAATTGTGCTCCAAACCTACCAGTAGCCCAGTTTGTCTCATTGAGCTTTGCTTCACGAACTTGGTTGGACCGGACACTGTTCGCACGCGCAACGACTGGGTTCCTTCTCATGCGTGGCAGCGTTGGACCAAATCAAAGAGCGGGCCTCACTTGCGAGAAGACTCATAGTAAGTTTGACTCACTACAGTACACGCTGGGTGGGAATCATCACTTGGGAATTTGGTGGGAACTCGACCAGCTCAATCAACACGACGGTGGCGACGACAGGCATCCTGCATAACTGGTCGCGAAAGCATACCCAAAATCGTCGCAGAGGTTTCGAGGACTGCCACTAAAGGAGGATTCTCATTATTCTTAATTTTTGGTGGTCCACCCCACGCAATCCACACCCAACCCTGAGCTGAGCCTATTCTCCAACCCCTCGCCGGCCTGAAAAGCTCCAGGCGACGGGCCAGGCCGTGACAAATCTCCAAGGCCGCAGCGAATACCAAGGTGATGCTGCGAGCCTCGAAGCCGAGGCATCGAAACATCAAGACAAGTGTGCATCGCCTGTCAACGCCCATGCTAATAGCTTCTCCATCGCAACAACCGACGAGGACCGACGTGTTTCGGACATGTTCTTTCTCCTCGCGCCATTGTCGTTGGAGGAATGCGAGACGCTCCATTCTCCGGGCACTGGCAATCGCTTGGGTGGTTGCCTTCGTGCTCCGCGACATGCTGGCCCATAGCAAAGGCCCACTCTCACAGTGAGGTCCGTGGAATTGCCTCCGTCGCTCTGCCAAAAAGGGCAGCACCAGGGCCGGAGCAGGAAAAGCCAAGCCATGGACCATGGCAACCACACGCGAAACGAAATCAATCCGAATCCACGAATGCCTTGCTGGCCATCCCGCTCTCGTAACGTGACATCTCCAAAGGACTTTGCCAGGCACGGCAGAAGTGCGGCTGCGAGATCCGTTGCGGGCTCCTTTGACTGGCGATTGCTGACTAGGCCCTTCGTTCCCCGGCCGCCCCGGCCTCGGGGGCCCGAGCTCCGAGACGATTCACGAGGGGGCCCCCCGGCCCCCCGGCCCCCTCTTCTCGCCCCTTTTTCCGATCGAAACCGCGGAGGAAAGGCAGAGTAGAGACCCCGCTGGCAGAAGGATGTGCACGACGAAGTGGAGGACGAGGATGAGATGGGGCGCCAAGGCTCGTTGTGTTTGACGTCGGCAAGACTCCATCAGCGCGATGCCTTCCGCTCTTTCTAGCTGGCTAATTCGGCAACGTGCTTCTGCAGGAACTGCAGCACGAGCTCGTTGAAGGTATCGGCCTGACTAAGTCGCAAGAACTGCCATTAAGAGGATGCGATGCGAATCTTGCGTGTAGTCTTTAGACTTCGACTGGAGATTTAACAAATGCCGCTGCCAAGCAGCAAAATCATCCTAAAACAACGGGACAGTGCATCCGACTGTTGCGAACGAGAGGCTCTTTCAAAGTACACTGAATGACCTGCACCATCCACCTCCGCGAACTCCTGATCAGCTTGCAAGTAGTCTTGTAGACATGCCTTGGCATGCGCAGCTCTGCTTGCAAAGCTCCGAGTCTGGTAGGAGTTCGGCAAAAGCGCGAATCTGGGAAGGCGGGAAGATCACATCGTCTGCACCAACCTCTGCTACTTACAGCACCCGACAGACAAATCCAACATCTGCTTGACTCTTGGTGGTGCTTAAGCAACATATATCTCTCGAGCCCACGCTCTCTTTGCCCACGGGTGCGCCCAAAAAAACACAATAAGGGGCCCTGCTGCGAAGCCACGATGCAGAGCACGGGCAGCTGGAGGCGCTGCACCTCCAAAACACCTGGGCCTCCTCTGCAAAGAGACAGGGAAGGAGGAGAGAGGAGAGGAAGGGGCCACATGCCAAAAAGGGAGGGGGTGAGGTTACGTGGTCACGTCCCTCGCGCTGCCCTTGCCTGGCGTGGGTCCTTCCAGCTGCGGCCGCGGAGGATTGAGGGACCCGATGGACCGCAAGAGGTAGTACAACTCTGGCCTCTCCTGGGACCAGGAGTGGCATCTGTGCTTTGCCGCACTTGCTTTTGTTTGCACTACTGTTCAGTGCAGACTGGGCATATGCCAGTCCTTCGGAAAATTCCGTGCGACTGCTCGAGGATGTCCTCTGGCCAGCTTGCACGGCCAACTGCACTGTCATCATTATGCTTCCGAATTCGCCCGAGCCTGAATCTACATGCCACAGCGGACTCTTTGAGAATTTGGCAGTGTGGGTTGTTCTCCGAGAACTACCGAGAAGCCTAGAAATCGAACTGAAATCTCTGCCACGCTAAAGGCCCACAAAGAGTCACCAAGTCTCTGAAGAGTTTGAAGCATTTCTTCAACTAGCTGCGCGTCTAGCCCCGAGAGCCCGACGTCACTAGAAATAACAATCGTCTACATTCACTGGATTGACCTGGACACCTTTAGCACGAGTTGATCAACAAAAGGTTGTCACGGGCCCAACATCGGCCAGATCGTCCTTCCGGTATTACGCACATCCTCGCCCTCTCCCACTGCTCGGGCCAGTCAAAGCTCCCCCAGCTGTCTGCCATTACCAGGGCAAGAACGCGGTCTTGATGACCTCACAGATGCAAGGCGCCCACACGTAGCGCATGCCCTAAAAAGATGCAGGGTGCCCGCCCCTCGAACCTCTCCAAGCGACATCTGGCCAACAATGAGGCTCACGAATAGCAAAACACACTGACAAAATCTGAATCAGGCAGCGTGTTGCAAATCCCAGCGCGGCTCGCCCACCCATGGATTGTGCAATGAGGACAACACGCTGCAGACCAAGATGTTGCACCAGAGCTTCCTGCCGGCGAGAAGCCGAACCCGCAAACCGATGAAGCCGATGAAGCATGAAAAGTTGCTGAAGGCAAGGCTCTAAGTCGGCGATCAAGAAGGCCATGCTGTCGCCGGTGGGATTGGGCGATCGACCATATCCCCGTATGTCATAAGCCACGCATCGCAGCATGGACCCTTAGCTTGACAAAGACGAGTCGAATGTCCCAGCCTCATGAAAGCCTGAGACAGAGGCTGAAAACCGGGACTTGCTGCCACCAACACACCTTGCCAACTTCTAACTTTCATTGAAGGTCTTGGAGAAACAGAATGGATCAATGTAGCGGTGGTGATTCTGGAGTCTGGGCTTGAGGTGCTCACTGTATTTCCACCTGCTCCATGGAGAAAGATCGCCACTGGCCTACCGTTCCTTCCTGGATCGCTGTCTTCCTTGTGGAGACCATTGCGTGTAGCATGTTGGCGAAGCTGCGCTATGAACTCTGCACTCCATGCCTGCTTTTCAGGTCAGAGGCTCGTAGTAGAGGTCAATCCCATTCACTGCGGCAGTTGGCATGCCGGCAAGTTCAAGTGCGGATGTGTTGGTAATGTTGAGTCTCACGTCTACTAGGTCACTAGGTGACAGAGTTGTCGGTCTAGTGTGTGCATTTTGCGTCTTCCCTGTCTTAAGGCAACGAGCCAAAACAGCAATCAACACACAAAGAAGGCTTTGAAAAGCCCGAGGTCGACGTCTACAGCTCCATTTCCCACTTGACTCAGGATGAAGCGCCACGGGTGACGTTTGCCGCCGCAGCAGCGGCAGCCCAGTGCCTGGGATCAGCTCTACTCCACCTGTGCTTCAACCGTTCGACCGTTCATGCGAGTTACAACAGGCAGCTATGAAATTCAAACGTCATCCTGTGCTCGCCGGCCTAAAAGGCTTTCTTGAGTATGGTTGTCGTGCCCCAATCCCCCCCTGGGCGGTAGGAAAATCGCTTCTGCACTTAGATACTCAACTTGTTCATCCTGGAGCCCACTGCCCACTGATCGCATAGCCGGGCGATTGACAAGTCATTACAACAGCCCCTGTCATCCTGCGTCTTGAATGCAACTGGCGGTTAACAATGCGACCATGAAGTTCAGAGGCAAAGCCTTGAGGCAAGAAAAGCTGGCCCTAGACTAAGTAATGTCGGGATCGCTGCCATCGGCGAATTGTCAGGAAGCTCCCAAGGCCCGTCCAGACCTCTTCAAGGTCACCTGGCATGGTGGCAAGAGGTGAAGATGCAACAGCAAAATCCCACCACAAGCTCACACACACATTCTTGACTGACTTCACGGAATCACACAGGTTTTCTCTGGTCAGAACTTCCCCAGTTGTACAATGCTGTGCCCCAGATAAAGTCGTCAGCACCTACATCTTGCACATACATCTTGAAACTACTCTCTGACCACATGCACGAAGCTGAAACCGGAACACATCCGGCACTGAGCAGACGCCTGAATCTTCCGGCTGCACCGACTTGCGCACCTAGTTGCGGGTAACTTGTCTTAGTTGAGTGGCATGTTTCCAGTAGGTTGAACCTATGAGAAGAAGCTCGCCCTTGGGGGTCGGGTCGGCCCACAAGACTATGGGTAGCAAGCCCCAAGCAGGAAGCAAGCCCTGAAAGAGCCTTACTGCAAGCCCTTGCAGGGAGTACTGCATAACAAGCAAGAGCAATCCAAATGAAGTGTCACGGCAAGCCGAAGCTCTGCAAGCAGAGTCGAGTTGCAGATCTTACACTGCAAAACGATTGACATGGGGCAGGGCCTAGACGCAGGCGTGGCAAACCCCAAGCCTCAAAACCAGTACTGGAGTGGGCAGGCCGAGCCGCACCCTAAACGGAACAAGAACAAACCCCCACGCAAAACCCAAACCCAACACAACAGAGGGGAGTATGGCAAAGCTTCAATTCGAAAAACAATGCTAGTCACCAACAAGTACCGATGGTGGCGGGCAGATTACAGAGAGAATCACATGCTGGTGAATCACAACCCAGAACAGGTTTCTTTTACTTCTGTCCGAGAAGAGCCACCCAGAACGCTGTACGAAGACAGAGCATCAAGCACAGGAAGAGAAAAAGTAGCCATTCCGCTCGGCACGGAAAGGAGGCTACATGCAGCTCGATAGCAGCTACTAGGCAAGATAAGACCGAGTGCCTGTCATGTTCCTCCTGCGGGACGGAATGAAGGGTGCATCCACGACATCTCCCAACGTTGAGGCATCAACCTGAAGGGGAAATGTAAGAGCCTGCCAGATTGCAAAAATTCACAAACCCTCCATTTTTCAGCCTTGGAACCTCGGGAAGCTTATTGGTGCAGTGCTCTGGCAACAACACTAAGATACAGTTCACACCACTTCACAGTGTTGCTTCCGGCACCGCCGCGACTGCCATCTCCAGACGCCGGGCAGACCCACGGCAGCGGTGTGATGCCTGACTTCATGCATGTTCGTGGGCCAAAGAGCTGGCAACGTATCGCACGAAACCATTGATTCATGGTGACGAACATAAACTTTTTAGGCCCGCGCCTGCCGCAAGCTCGGAGAACCCGCACAGCCGTTGAGACCCTGTCAAATCAAGCGCATGAGACCGTTGGGAGCATGGGTGGGTGCGACTGTCCGGCCGGAGCGGACGAAAGCTAGGGGGCAGAAGGGGCGGCGGTGCATTGCAAATGCGAGCTGATGCTGGTAATCGTGAGTGATGCAGTGTGCTGAGCTGTGAACTGGAAGGGAAGCGGCTATCCAATCAAGTTTGAGAGAGAAAGTAAATTCGCATGTGTTGTCGCAAAACCTGAACCTATGCTGCACCACGCGTGCCAAAGCTCGTTCCTCAATGCGGGTAGCTCCGAGCTCAAACAACCTTTGGCGAGCATTTTGGACACTTTCGCCTTCGGCATGGAAGCGATGGCTGGAAAGCCCGTCGGCTAGATGCCAAAATACCATTCCTCTGCGACTTGTCGGCCCGGGCCCTTCGCCAACACGATACCAGCAATACGAAGCCATACAGTGCGGTTCTGAACAAGTTGGTGCACCAAGGAGGCAGCTGCAGCCACACCGGGAGCAGGGAATGAGATCTCCAAAGATTCGGGAAGAATCAGAGAGTCGATCGCCAAGGCTGAAGCCATCTGAACGCGATGAGGAAAAATGCGAGGCTGTGGATGGGAAACCAAAGAGTGGCAAAACCTTCCAAATCCGGATGAGTCAGCTCACTCACCCAAAGCCACTCTTTATTCGCACGAAGGGGCCTCCGAGTCGTTGCTGTGCAGATTCAGACGGATCTTGATGAAGACTTGTTAGTGCGCAGCACTTTGATTGTCACTCAGCGACGGCTTTCGAAGGTTGGATGTTTTTCTCCGCATGTTGATCAAACTGTCAACCGTCCGGAAGCTCTCTAAGCCATGACGTTGAGGAAGAACCAACCGTGCGTAATAGGTGTGCCAACACCATGATAGTACAAGGCGAGCCTTTAAGCCAGAAAACGACCCTGCGTTTACCGCTGACGGTCGGCTAAACTGGTGCAGGATCGTCTTTTAAGCGGGTGTTGAGCCAAATTGCTGGGCTGGGTAGTCTAAGCCAGAGGGCGCACGCAACTAAATACCCTCTACCTAATCCGCCCCCTATTTCTGCGTGCAGCGGGCTGCGTAGCGCTTTAATCTATTTTTTCCTGTAAACGGGGGGGCAGCGGAAACATGAACATGGAAGGGGGGGTGCAGAGACTGCCATCGAGAAGTCCGAGGAACAGCACGACGACTACGGACTCGACTGGTCCTCGATGACATCAGAATTGAATCGAACGGGTTCTCGGAGCTAAGTTGGTCCAGGGTTAGAACATTTAAACCGAGTTCTTGGAAAAATTGTCGGGCTCTGCTAAAATGGTGTTCGTTTGACTGTTATCTTGGACTCGGACATCAACACATGACACGTGGTCACCGCTAAATTGCCAGACTGCCGCCTTAAAAGCACAACGGCTCGTGCGCACAATGCGCCGCGCCTGCAGACGTCCCTGGACGAAAACGACTCCAAACACCCATCATTAGCGTCATCAGCAAACTTTTTTGGACCACCGAAACCTTTTCTATGTAACATGGCGACAACGACAATAAGTCATGTCACGTGTTGCTATCAACCTTGGCCCAGCCTGCAAAGCCACGAAAACTCTGGCGGCCAGGATCTGCAGCCGCTCGAAGTCTGCATGCAGCCTGCAAATAACCGTGAGCCAGTTCCCATCAGATCAAAACTCTGCCTTTTGTACCAGCAGGAATCGGCCGCACCTCGCAGATTGCTTGGACAGCTGCCTGCGAAGCGATCAGCTGCGGCCAGCCGAGATGTATGAAAGGCAGATGCAAGTGATGGAAGGTGGTATTTGTAGACGAACCCTGCAACAAACGATGACGAAATCTCCCGAGTTTATTACCATTGCAACCTTTGCACCAAGTTGCGCGGCATGGGAGTACGGTCGCTCGCCCGCACCCCAATCCTTGTAAGAAGTGCAGGCCGGTTGAGGACATCTGGGACATGTAAAGTGTAAAGCAGTCCAGGCATGTCCAGGCCCAGCCTTGGGCTGCAGGAAAGCATTCTGGAAAGTGTGGATGTCCGACTCGCTGAGGTGCATTGCTCAATTCCACATGACATGGCACTTGAGTGCAAGTACTTTGCTCCGAGCTTTGGTGGCGCAAGGAGGCCAAATTCTAGGACTGTTCGGACTTGACTTGATGCACATGACAGTGGAAACGACAAGCGGCTTGATTTTTTATGGCTCAAAGTTTGATGGCCTGACGATGCATGACAAGCTTCTGTCACGTTCCTTCGCTAAGCTGCAGACGTGCATATCTACTTCCAACTCCATGGTGACATGCTGCCTGAAATAACACAGCCGTTCAACCTCATCGACCTCCTCTCCAGGGCGCGCCTGTGCCGGACTCGTCTTGAGGCAAAGAACCCATACTGGTCACGCACGCATCCAACATCGCATACTTCGCCCATCCTGTCAGCGAAAGGCTGCCTGCCTCAACCAAGTCATCGAGAACCTGCGGATAACATGGTCAGCACAAAACCGGGAGGTCTGAAGATTGAGAACCTGATGGGGCTTGCACACGAGACAAGCGAATCTCTTCATTCACAGCCGAATACAGCCACTGCTACCTGCACCGCATTCAAACAAACTCAAGGAAAGAGATCAATTGGAGAGGTGTCGAAATATCGCTGTTGCTGTCTAGTCTATCACATTCTACATCCCACCCTCGTGCTCTCAGTTGGTCAGGTCAACGTGCACACTTCCTGGGCCCCACACTGCTTTGACAAGCTCCTCGTCAATGATCGGAGTGAAAGCAGCATCGCTGAGCTCGTGCAGCCGCGCCTTCTACTCACGTAAGTGCTTTCACTTCCCCGGTCCCGTCTATCAAGCTATCAATCCCAACAGGAAGCGAACTCACCGTTTCTGCATGATTTCAACATGCTACAGCTTGGGTAGTTACACTCACAGACTCGTGCAACCTGCCCCGAGTGTCAACAATCCTACGCTGGCAAACACAAGTAACCATTGCGGCTGGTTATGAACCATGTTTAAGGGTTAACCACCAACCATGTCAAAGCTAAGACTCTGTGGCAAGAATCGTATCTGCATACTTGGCAATTTCGCAATAGTTGGCTTTGACTTCCGCGGGTATGTGAGAGTCCTCACAAAATCCTCTTCGTTGGGCTGGCATGCCTGTGATGCCCATGATGGTTTGGATTTGCAGCATGGAGTCATCAACCATGCAGTTGTTGACATTTCTGCTGCAAAAGACATTGGCAATGACATGGGCAGGCTGATGGTCAACACACATGTAAAGTGGCTACGACGTCCAAACTGGAATTTTTGCAAACTGAAACTTTGATAAACAGGTGTTCACAAACACCATGCATGCATGAGGCCCGAGACCTTCGTGCGCGTGATGACGTCTTCGACGGCCCGCTCAGGCTCCGGGCCTGGAATCAAAAAGCACTGACGAAATTTTAGGGCCGACATGTCAAAACTGGAATTTCATGTGTGAACATATGCAACTCCAGTCTTGAATCCTTTCGGTCAGCTAACCACATAACAGAACTCGTTCAGCCAATCTGCGCACGCACTACTACACAAATCGACCATGCACTGAGCGCGCAACACGTTTCCAGAAAGGATCCGATTAGTTTTGCAGCCTCTGCATGAGCTGACCATGTTCAACCACGAGAACAGGCACGAATCTGAATCACCGACACATTTGGACTGCGCCTGGGGTCTCAAGCAGTAGCCCAGCACGTTGAACTCTCGAAGCCATGCTTTCCTGATGGCGAGAGCGCAGAGACATCGCAAGGATCCTGGTCCAAGCTGCAACCGCTGCTCCGAACCAAAGAAAGCTAGGGCATGAAGAAGGATGCGCGAGGTATGGATGGGATTCATGATGCTGATGTGGGAGCCAGCATGTGCGAGGCAGACCCACGCGCAATTCCCGTGTGCAACTGCGACTGAGAGCGGTGCTGCTGCTGCATGGTGGGCTGGCTGTTGCTCTGCTACCGGTCCCATAATCGATTTGAGCCCATCCAAAGCATTCCCCTCTCAAATCGAATCACACGCTCTTCTGCATTACGTACATGAAGGGCACATGCTGCACTGCTGCTGCCTTCCCAACGTGTCCGTTGCAGGCAGACTCTGCCTCTGCCGAAGTCCTCGAGGGTGGCGGGGGCGGCTTGCTAGCCGCCGGAGCCGTCTTAGTCCGTAAACTGCACGAACTCCATTCAACGTCACAAACTCCAAAACTCCTGTTTGGTGACGTCATGCCCTGCCTTCAAATCTAAGGTTTTCGTGGCGCAGCAACATGCAAAGGCACCATGGCCAAGTCGGTCCCTGAGCTCGGCCTCCTTGCGATCCTCGCCAACCTCACTTGTAGCATCCTGCGCTGCAGAACACTGCCATCCCTGAAACTGCGAAGATCTTGTTCGTGAATGCTGTGACATCCACATTCTACAAACCACTCAGCTGGCGTCAGCCTCCCAAGCCGTCCATACACGCGAACACTGCAATTGTAACACCACAGCATACGGTCTCATAAAACATCTACGAACAACTGCGGCGTGCTGCAGCTTCCACATCCCGGAATTCTACAAACCGTCCTTTACAACATCCAAAAACACGCAAACCTTACGCGCAGGACAAGACAAGCAGCAGCAGACTTAATTAGTACGGCAACGTGGACAGTCCTCCCCATGAGGTTGTGCATCTTTGGCCACCTCTTCCGCCGAAAACATTGCAGCGTCCTGTGCCACCGGAAGCAACGTCACTTCCAAGCATACAGAGAGTGGCGAGGATCCATTCAATCGCTACATTACAGAGCACCACAAGCGACTTCGTCGCGGCTGCATGTGGCCACTCCGTGTCATTGTTTGGCTTCACTTCACTTCCTTCCAGCTTCCCTTGCGAAACCGATGTCGGCAAAAACCAACAACATCCTAAACTCTTTGCTAGGATTTACGAAGACAACAAAGAAATCCGCTTGCTGAGTCCCAAAGTGCGTTCGCCACCAAGACCGCGAACTGGGCATGTCTCCTGCTCAGCCCCCAGCTCGCCGAGCGCAGAATGATTTGATCCCTGCCACAGAGGCAAAGCTTCGAGCTACTGAGCCGCCGGCACAAGTCGTTGAAAACTCTTCTGAGCGCAGGTCTTGCTCTGCTGACGGCGTCTCTTTGGCCGTGTCAGAAACGACTGCGGACTCCTCCGGTGAGTGTGGCACTTATCGGACGGTAAAAGAGGGCAGCATACCTCGTGACATACTTTGACTCAGAATACATGCAGACACTGAGTCAGTGAGTTAGTCCTCGTGATCTTGCAGCTCATCTTTGGCCACAGCAGATTCTTTCGCAGCTTCCGTAGCATCAGCAGTCTTTTAAAATAGGTCATAACAAGCTTTGATTCACAATACATGTAGCCAACGAGTTAGTCCTCGTGATCTTGTGGCTCATCTCTGGCCACAGCAGAGGCTTCTGCAGCTTCCGTAGCATCAGCACTCTCCTACGTCAGCTGCACAGCATGCTTCGCGGAAGGGTTCTTATTTGTCTTCCTTCCCCGAATGACGTGTGCTCGTAATCTCAAAAATCGCGCACACATCCTGCACCTACAACTTACTCTTACACACTATTGAACCACGATTGTGCAAGCGCCAAGCGCCATTGGGGAAGTATGCTGGTCGTCCCAGCTATCCTGCAAGGGCCTCTGCAAGCGTCCTTTGGACCACAGCTTCGGTTTCCAAAGCAGACAGAAGGGACAATACTTATAACGAAGACTAGAATAACTGTCGCAATCGCGCACTGAACAGCAAGCTTGGGAGTTTCAGACGTCACGCTCACTCTTGATGCGCTCGGTAGCATTACTGAGACAAGTTCCTTTTCCACAGCCCGACCCTGAACCCTTCCTCCCGAAGCAGCCGACAACCCTGTCTCCAAGAGTCGCCAATTCAAATCGATGATGCTCGTGAAATGAACTATCGAGGTCGAGTGCATGTCCTGCTCCGGAAGCTCATCCACCNNGACATACACTGAATCTGATGGCACCTACACCAGGCAAAATAAAGACGGACAATCTCCGCTGAGCTCTGGTCTTGCTCCGGAGACGGCTTGTCTTTGGCCGTCATGTCAGACATCGTTGCGGACTCCTCGGATCCAGAACAGAGGCCTGCAAAAAGTCTCCATGTTGACGTGTCTTTAGCCAAGGTGACCTCCAAAAAGGCTCCACAAAGCCACAAGAACTAAGGATTCTATGTTTGCAGTATCAACACGCTTACAATGGGAAGTGTGTGCCTCGACAGGGAAAAGTGGCTTGTAACAGGTTTTATTTTTCGGAATTTTTTGGCACTGGCTACGGGACTAGGAGGTTGATGTAAGAAAGACTTCTCCGTTGCATGCATCTGGCGACTGTATCTAGATGTAGGCATCTGAAACAAATCTAAATGCCAGAGCCTTCTGCTCAGACTACATCTTCGTTTCTGCACCTGGCTGACTGCGTGCAGAGTGCCACTTGAGAAAGTGAAGCATACTTTCTTCAGAACCCCTCCTCCCAGAAGCAGCCGACAACCCTGTCTCTAAGAGCCACCAGCTCAAATCGATGATGTTGGTGAAACAAACAATCGATGTCGGGCGTGTCCTTCTTCGGAAGCTCATCCACCATCAGCTCACCGAGTGAATCAGCATTTTCGGCTCCCTCTGCGGCCTTGCGACATTCGACATACACTGAATCTGATGGCACCTGATGGCACCTACACCAGGCAAAATAAAAACAGACAATCTCCGCTGAGCTCTGGTCTTGCTCTGGGGACGGCTTGGCCTTGGCCGTCGTGTCAGACATCGTTGCGGACTCCTCGGCAAGTAGACTCAAATTCAAAGACGATGGCCAGAAAAAACTCCATGTTGGCGTGCCCTTAAGTAAGGTTACCTCCAACACGACTCCACAAAGCCACAAGAAGATGAGGTTCCTATGTTTGCAGCATCAACACGCCCAGAATGGGGAGTGAGTGCCTCGACAGGGAAAAAGCGGTTTGTGGGTCGGACCTAACAAGCCTTCTTGTCGGAATTCTGTCACTGTATCTACAGCAAAGAACCTAC